TGCTTCACCTTCAGCAAGCTGAACATCATCCCCTGAACTAGTTATGTCGGAAATCTTACCAAAAATGTGCTTTCATGGCCTGCAGCAATTCAGTTAGTTTGTCATTCTCGACAGTCCTATCTTTTAAGTGGATGTACAGCTCTCCAGCGATCAACATGCCAACAACAGACAAAGTCCAATCAAATGACCCATCCCCAACTACAAGTGGCACAATCGGCGTGCCGAGGGTAGTTTTAGGACATTGGAATTCTATCCAGCATTGATTGTTGCCCACATACTGGTCACTGATGCATGCCACAAAGACCTTCGCCTTTTTCATCATTATGGCAGTCTTTTTTAACTCCTCGCCGGTGTTTGCTTTTCTTTCTCCAATCTTCAATCCTTTTTCCCAAAAATGTGGCATAATGTTACGTGGATCGCAAAGCTTGTCTAGCACTGGCATGTACCGCACACGCGCCTCCGTAGTTTCATTGTTCTTTATAGCTGTGGGGCTGTCTGTGACAGAATATGAGAAATATACATCAATGTCGTCATCAGATGCACCGTTTTCTGCTGAATCAGGGCCGTCAAGAATATCAAACACATTTGGTCCAATTTTTAGGTCTTCTAGTTAAAGCACACTAAATGTGTATTCGTACCCGGCATAAGTAAGCCATTGACCATCTTCCTCTCTTTTTGTGCGACACCCATCAAATAATATTGTGCCATCAAGGTCCTGCCGGATATTCGTTTTTTGCCTTGATGCCATTTCAGACCTCCGTTTGTTCCACCAAGAGGGCCACCAACATACTCGCCTTGTGGGAAAGGCAACGCTACCGATTGATATCTCGTTCTTATTCGGTGACTTATCTAAAGCGAGGTTGCAATAGTCGACAATACGACCAGTTGGATCTGGATCGTCCCAGGCGATTTCGTAGCTCATTTGGCATAAACTTGCAAATGGCGGCTTGGAAATACTTTGATGGAGTCAGTGATCACATTGCTAGTACTTTGTTACCTACGTGTGGAAACACCTTTTCGATACATGCTTCGTTAAAGTGTTCTCCTTAACAGGTTTTGCTTAATTGATTATCAACTTCTGGCACAGCCTCTCTCTCATCCTTTGCCTCACTCACCTTTATGAAAACCGTGTTTGTATTTGCTGGGGTGTGATCGTCTTCACAATGCCTTAAAAGTTCGTCTGCATCCTTAAAGCTCTTCAAGTCGCATTTTGGGCATTGAAGGGATGGAATCGAAACTTCGTTTGCAAGGGGAGTCTGGTCGTGAACGATTTTGGCATGTTCTATAAGATGCTTGCCATCTCTAAATCCAAACAAATTACAATAAGGACAAGAAAGGCTTTGGACATGATGCTCTTTTTCAAGATGAGAAAGAATATCTGCAGACCTTCGAGATTTGTATTCACAGCGTGGACATCTCAGGCTTTCCGCTGATTGCATCCCATTTTCTATAAATAAAAGTTAGAAACTTTTGAAATGATCTGATCTTCTCAAATGCAATAAAAAATAACTGTCTTAAAAAACACAAATGCATAAATCATAAAAATTCGCGACACAAACAAAAATATTTGTTATAAAAAAGGTCTTGACAATGCCTTTTCGTTAAAATAGATTTTAAGACATAAGGCTGTAAAGGTAACCTTTTTCGATGCAAAGGTGACGACGGACATCTGGATGTGACCAATACTTTTTCGGTTGTAGACGTGATGACACACATGGCTTTTAGTCTATTAATAGCAAAGTCATCAAAATGATAGTCAACATATGACTGACTAGACATCGGGACACAAATATGAGAGGAAATAAAAAAGATTACCAGCTCAAATATCCAGCAAACGATATGGAACGTTAAAACATTCAAATTTTGACGATGCAAGAAACTCATTTAAAGAGCACAGGGTGAAACACTATCGAGATAATCAAGGAAACAGCTATGGTATACCCAGATGACGAAAAAAACTCATAGTACGGTGTTGCTAATGCACCACGTATGACCCAAGTTTGAAAGAATAAATAACAGAATCTGCACTGATTGATAACAAAAAGCAAAAGAGACAAAAATGATCTGCAGAAAATTGCATAATATATGGGATGAGAGGAGCACTAGATAAATAGTCGATGGCTGGAACAGCTGCTAGCCATGGTGATGCCTATCAAGTTGTATGTACTTTAAAGTATACAAATATAGATATTTTATATGTATACATATTTTGAGAGTTAAATGACCAGTGCAGAGGTGTATTAAAAATAATAAAATATTTCATTTTTCCGAAAAAACCTTATGAAACGACGTAATTGTTTTTACCTTTAGCGTTATACTTCCTAAAATTCTACGGCTACTACACTGCTTTGCTTTGCTTTGGATACTCATAGATTGATTATTTCAATAACCAGCATAGGTACATATATTTTAAACCGGAATTAACACATTCAATATCACGTGATTCGTTACAAGAAATTTACCGCTGACAACAGGAGCAGCAATGCAGATATGAAATAATCAAATTTTGTAAACATAACAAGAGATATGAATGCTATGAATATTTCGAAATTTGCATCCTTGGTTAGTTTTCTACTTTTGTTTTTGCTAATCTTTTGAAAAATGCGCTGCTGAGAAAGAAGTGAAGCAGAATTTTTAATCTAAAGATCTGAGCATTAAAATTTTTTTACTACTGCTGGTCTAGCATGTAAAGAAGTAGAACAGGTAAAAAAGTTTGCGAAAATTTTGAGTTCATAGGCCTAGCATCACTTTCAGACGAACTTCGGTTGTTCTAGATATTTGGTAAAGCAACAACAAGAATGGAAAACACATAACTTACTGTCTTGATTGCATTCCCGTCACGGATGCGGATTAACCTATCTCCATGGCAATTATACAAACAGCTACTATCAAAATGCCCATTATGTAGTTAACCACAGAAAACATGTTGTTATTCTCTGGTTCAACAATAGAGGCGGCTCATGCCGCGAGAATCTTTAATTCGCCGCCGACCGTCCCGCTTCGCGAACCTGATGGAGCCGAGTGGGTAATTCACGACGTCAAAAAAACCTTTTTCTGATTTTGATCATATAAACTGGAAATAAATTTGCACATTTAGAGCTATATTCCATATTCTTTGGCCTAAATTCAAAATTTTAAAAATTGATTTGGATAATTTCCCCAGTTTGTCAATCAAAATTATTATTCTTTGATATATATCATGGCACAGCCTCCTTAAACAGACTGTTTCTATTGTAACACATTTTAACAAGGGCGTTCTTTAAAGTGCAGTGCACGTCTTCACCGAGCAAAAAACTATTGCAATGACCATTTTCAATCCGTAGCCACGACTTTCATTATATATCCGTCATTAATATCTAGCAATGTCTTCGCATCTATAAGGACGGAACCAACAACATTTTCGCAGCGTACCCTCGTTTTATGAATATACACCTATTGTACAGTTCAGTTAGGATATTCATAGGAAATCACTGCTAGAAATCAGTTTGCTCTCCAAATTTTCGTCTAAAAATGTCTATATAATTTTTGAAACAACTTCAATAACAAATCAATTATATGATTGCTTCAAAATAGTTTACATTTTGACTACTCTTATCTTTAGTTGACTCAAAACAACTTACAGGCAGTTTCTTTACACTTTGCATTACAAATTAAGCAAAAGCGTATTCAATTTATAAGGGGTTGTCCTCTCATCGATTTGTTCTTACCTACCAAGAGAATTTCATCCTTCCAGTAATATTCTGCTTATACCTAACTTGTTTCTATATTCTGTGATTATTGAATTTGTATCCTGTAACCAGGGACGCCTGCACAAGATTAGGGCAGGAGGGGCAGTGTTGGTGTTGAGGGCAAATCGTAGAATTTTTCTACTAACATGATCGAGTATTCCTGGTTGTGGGAGGGGGGGGAGGTAGGGTAACTTAATGAAATATTAACATGGATATGTGCCAAACATACAGCCGAGTTTCTCTACCATCAATGATTCTAAACATAGAAAAAATGTTGACCAAAATATCCATAAATAAAATGGGTATTTAATGGCTTTTTCATTATACAAAATAATTGGATTTATAAAAATCATGGCTGTTGATATTTCCATCTCTATAGCGTGGATATATGGAGAGGAATGTAACAAAAAATAACTTGTTTTAGCCTGTTTTACCCAGTGTTCTATCCAGCGAACTTTAAAGACATTTCAGTAAGATGGTTTATCCAGCCTTGTTGCTCGTCCTGAAGGAGTCCGGAAAATTTATAACTTTATTTTGTCAATACTTGTTTCTATATCAATAAATTCAATAACAGTAACAGATAGTACGTTTACATCTTTACCGAAGAAGAATGAAAGACAGAGGTCTCCTACCTGACATCCGCATTTCGAACGGCTGCAGGCGTTCTAGGCCACGAGCCGGTGTGTACAAATCAGATATTATAACATGTCTTGAAACTATGAAAACAGTAACCAGGTACAATGTTCTCGATGGAAGCATTTCGCTGAAATATGCACACTAAGCAGTTCTTGTGGCTTGATTAGACGTGAAGAAAGAACAATCTTGATAGTGGTTAGTATGTCTAGCATTTTGGGAGATTTTCAAAACATTAGCCTAGAGCCCAACTTGGTCATGTCAAAAATCAACTGAACTGCATAGCAACCAGATCGGTATCAAAGTGTCACAAAGTGTCAGAACTTAGTAATTTAGGTAACTTTTTTAGCTTCCCTTCAATTTATTTGTTTTGTCGTTCTTGCATAGCAGCCGTGGAAATTGATTGATTTATCTTAGGCCCGAATCAGGAAATGGCTGCTTAGAAAACCATTGGCCTAGCTTACGATTCAAAGCTCTAAATGAAAAATAGTTCCAGGTTTGACTGTTTCGCCTCTTACTCGCAATTCAGCAACAGCTGAGAAGTACAATACAAACTAAAATACAAACAAACTTACCCTAACCAAACTTTCCTTCCTTTTTCGTGCCATGAACATTCACATTGGCGAATGAAATGGTAACACATCAAGTGGCGTGAACTTTCTTAACCTGGCAGTCAATTTGGCATCTCCATTTCTGAATCTTTGCCAAGAAACCCTCCATTATTTATCTTGCAAAACAATAATTGCAGAATCTTGCCTTCTTTGAGCTCAGGCCTATTAAGCTTAATGAAACTCCCCACAACTGCTTCCTTAACAAATCTCACAACTGCCCAGATCTTGGTCCTGCATCCTTAGATGCCATGTTGTTTCAAGCTTCATGTTTGAATTATTTGATATAATTCAGTTAATGGACATTTTTATCATGAATAAAAGGCCCACCGAAACCGGGGGGCTGGGGGCTGTAATTGTCAAACTGTAGTATGTTTCCTTTATAACAGTGCACTGAATGAGATGGAAAACAATGGGCAGCCTCCCCCAATATGAATTTCGTTCCGACAGCACTGAATGATCCAAATCACTGAACAAAGATGAACAACACTAAACAGCACTGAACAACACTGAACAGCACTGAACAGGGGTTGATTAATGATCTGTTGAGAGCTTTTTATTTGGGCTTAATATTGTAGTCCTTATTAGTATAAACAAAACCTAAGTTCAAGCATTCTAGACAATGCTGTAGAAAATTCTCATGTTCTGTCTAATGTTGATACAAAGTTCGTAATGATAAAAAAGCTACCACATGTGAGTCACGAGATAAGAAAGTTCAAATGCAAAAGAATGTGAATACATGCAGTTAAGATTTTAGGCAATCTAGGCCAATGTCAGTTAATTTTGTAAGTCAGACAAAAGGTGAAACTTTGGAAAACTTTGGAAAATTAGCAACAAAAGAATTTGTAAGATAAATTTTAAGCAGATAAAATGTGTTGAAAAATTTTTCCAACAGCTTTCAAGAATTTTGTCTTGACAAAATGTTGTCATGGATTCTGCAGCATAGGTAACATACTAACAATATTCTAAGAGGCAATAATATACAGTTTGCTTAATATTTAGGCCCAAAGTACTGACTCTGTGGAGACCTGAGGGCTTGAGCATCTTCTGGAAATATGGCTTTTCCCACAGGCAGTTTTTTACACAGTAAATCATTTCAGGAAAATCAAAATAAAAACATCATATTTTGTAAGGTTATTTCAAGGCAAATCAAAAGATTGCAAAGTCAAAGTATTTTTCAATCACGTAAATCCTTTTTTCAAATCAGGACCCTTATTGGTAGCAGTGCATTTGGCACTGAAAAGGTTTTACCCTGTATAAATATTTCTATTTTTATTATAAATCAAAAGAGATAATAGTTTCTACTTTTTACAATAGGGCATGAAAGTTTATAAACAGAGGATAATTTAAAGAATAAGTATACATAGGTATAAGAATCTGGAAGTATAAGACCATCTCCAATCGGAAAAGGTAGTCTGGAAAATTTTATATTTGATAGAGCTCGAAATTTGTGCTGAAAAATGTAATAACCTTGACAAATGAAAAAATAGTACAGTTCAACTCATACAGTGAGAACTATTTTGTCGAAAGTTTGTTAAAATGAAGGCATTCAAAGAGTTAATGATGATGATAATCATTGTAATAAGGATTTTGAAGACAATGTAAATGAGAATAAGGATGTAATATGCATTGACTATGTCAAAAAAGATAACAAAAATTTCATTTGCCAATTCTTAAAAGCAAACAATTTTGTGGTGACCAATTTTCATATCTCATTTAGTCAAAGAAAAATTTGTCAAAACATTTTGTCCAAATTTGGTCAAGATGAAATTTGCTGTGGTTTATGTATATAAGATACATACTTGATTCTGACAGATAATGGTAGGCACTAGCTAGGTAAACATTAACAGAGAGGTGCTTTTCTTATCAAAACTAGAAACCATTAATTAAGTATATAGTGGATTGTTCCTAGTTTCAATTACAGCTCTTTCAGATAAAAAAGCTTGTGATGAAAATGACAAATGATGATTTTCTGTGAAACTTGAGTTTGCTTTGTTTTTGATGACCAGGAAAACCTTAATGATGCAAATGGTTTCTCGATTTTTTTTTACTTTCATTTGACTCCCCATCAGGGTTCATCATGATAAAGTAGAATACATACCATTTGTTACCATTATGTCTTTGATTTTCTATAATTTTGTGTGTAGCTTTTTATCTTGGAGGAGTGTGTTTTTATCTAGGGGGCACAATTATACTTGGAAAAGTTGATACCAAAGGATTTTTGCATAGCTATTAGCCCCCAACTCTCCCTAAAATATTATATGGTTGTCTTGAGTTTTTCATGTTAAGTTCTTTATTTTAGATTACAACATGGGGTGCAACCAATCAAAGCCTTTCCGTTGCCCAAGATGTGATCACAAGTTTGTCAGCTCAGATGACATCCTGTACCACATTGAAAAGCAGCATCCTTCTCAGAATTTATCTTGCCCAAAATGTAATTTGAAAGGTTTCAAAGACTGTACTGATCTGATCAAACATGTTGAAGGAAGTCATAGCATAGCAAATATGCCAAACGAAATTGTTTGTTCAAAGTGTAACCAAAAGGGTTTCAAGGATGGTGCTGAACTTCTGAACCATTATGAACAAACACATGTGCACACACCCAATCAAATTGTAAAACAAGTAGATAAACCAGTGGCACTGCATGGTACAAAAAACACCAACCACAGCTCTCATATACAATCAAAGCCAAATAAAGTGGGCAACAAGTCTTTGCCTCGCGTTGGAGACAAAGTTCTTGCTATGTGGGAGCACACAAAATGGCAGTACTTTGATGCCACAATTCGAAGGTTTTTACATGAAAAGCTGCAATATGAAATAGACTGGGATGACCAAGACACCACTGGACGATTTGTTGACTACTTTAACCTTGCATTAGATAGAAGCCCAGACCCCAATGAAATCTCCATTGGTAGCATTATTTTGTTTCAGCAAGGCAGTTACTCTGGAAGCGCTGGAGGAGCTACTGCTGGGGTTCGGTGGCATGAAGGCAAAATTACACATATAAGGAAAAATGAGCGTGGGGAAAGACTGTTTGATGGATGCCATACAAAGGGAATGGCAGATGGAAAATGGATCACCTATGGTGGTTATAATTACACATTTGCTGGGAAAAAGCTTGAAGAACTCAGAATTGGTCCCAATGTGTTTGATATACTTGATGACCTTGATTCAGAAGAAAACGGTTTGCCTGAAGACGACATTGACATATATTTCTCATATTCTGTCACAGACAGTCCCACAGCTATAAAGAACAATGAAACTCTGGAGGCGCCTGAACGGTACTTACCAGTGCTAGACAGGCTTTGTGATCCACGTGACATTATGACACATTTAAGGAAAAAAGGATTGAAGATTGGAGAAAGAAAAGCAAACACCGGCGAGGAGTTAAAAAAGACTGCCATTATGATGAAAAAGGCGAAGGTCTTTGTGGCATGCATCAGTGACCAGTATGTGGCCAACAATGAATGCCGGATGGAATTCCAATATGCTAAAACTACCCTTGGCACGCCGATTGTGCCACTTGTAGTTGGGGATGGGTCATTTGATTGGACTTTGTCTGTTGTTGGCATGCTGATCGCTGGAGAGCTGTACATCCACTTTAAAGATAGGACTGTCGAGAACGACAAACTAACTGAATTGCTTCAGGCCCTAAAAGCGCATTTTGGCAAGATAGCAGACATAACTAGCTCAGGGGGTGACGTTCAGCTTGCTAAAGGTGAAGCAGACATATTTCTGTCATACAATTGGACAAATTCACAAATTGCTGAAAAAGCTAAGCAGATCACTGGGTCGGTTGGTAATGAATTTTCCGATCCGCGTTTGGTGAAAAACGAGCTGCAAAAAGCTGGCTTCAATGTTTGGATTGACATTGAAAGACTTAGGTCAGCCAACCAAGGGGCAGGCATGTATGAGCAACTTACAAAAGCACTGAAGGACTGCAAAGTATTCGTGCCTTGCGTAAGCCTTGAATATGCAAACAGCCCTAACTGTCGAATGGAGTTTCAGTTCGCTATGAAATCATTGAAAAAGCCAGTGGTTCCCATTATTGTTGGCAAGGGAGATCAGTGGACATCTTCAGTAATTGGTGCTCTGATTGCAGGCAGTGGCAAAGAAGCTATAGACTTTCAGGATGCATTTGAGAAACAAACATTTACAAAGAAACTGGAGCAGTGTATCGAGGAATTGAATAAAGCTCTCAATATCAAATCGTCACCAACGGTAGAAACCAAGAATGTAAATTATCGCGCACCAAAAGTCGGTGACCATGTTGTATGTCATCACTTCAATTGTGCATACTACATGGCGACAGTTGAAAGTTTCAATACATCAACACTTGAATACACAGTTAACTGGGACGATGGTGACCCAAGTGGGCGTGTCCAGCCTTATAATCAGGTTGCCTTAGATCTTCTACCGGATTCTGATGATGTGGGTGTTGGCTCAATAATCTTCTTTCCTCAAGGTAATTACAAGGGTACAGAGGGCAACAACACGGGAGGAGAGAGATACCACGAAGGAATTGTAACCTCTTCTCAGATAAGTGGGAACACCAAGCTGATAAGCGGGCACCATACCAAGGGAGCAGAAGACAGTAAATGGGTTACATATCGAGATTATTCTTACGAATTCACCAATTTACCACTGAAAATGATTCGGATGGCACCTTCAGCAATGGATGCTCTCCAGGCTGCAAAACAGTGAGATTATGCGAATACACAAATTTTCTATGCTTTTCAAAAAAAGTGGCCGTCCTTTTTACCTGGTTTTAATTACTAACTTGAACCATGATTTCTTTGGAAACAATTTGCAAAATTTTTTATTCAAAAATCTGCTCATAGTTGTATAATAGTTTTGACAGTGACTATATAGGTATATTTATGTCAACATGTCTGTATAATTATTTTACAATTAATTTTTTTCTGCTCGTTCAAAAACTTCTCGTACTATACAAATTTGTACCGGGGTATGGGACTTTATCAAACTACATTGATCTGGTGGGCCTTGCCCATTTGGCCTGAGTCCAGCCACTAGCTTGTCGATCGTATCACTGTATTGAATCGTTGAGCAACAAATTGAATCAAATTCACTGAATTTAATGGCCGAGGTCTGTTGAGTAGGCTAAGATCTACTTTTCGCTTCCTCTTCGCATAGAGGCTGACTGTGCTAGCACATGTTAATTCATACCTCGATGCTACGAGGAGGCTGAAAGAACTAAAATCGGAGTTCGCCTTGTATCCCCAATATGTATTCAAACCTCCCATTCGACAAATAGGCAAAATATCATATTATGTTTATGACCATAATGTGCAGAAGAAAATCTTATCGCCAGTGCTTTTACGAAACGTTAAATCGAACTACATGTTTTCAAATGAATATCTCTGAAAGGTCTTTAAAATATTATTATTTTCAGTCCATTTGACATGGAATCATCAGGCCTCAATAAAATTATCTTGGGATATTTCAATGATTTGCTTAACCCTGTCTTTTGCAACCGTTTGCAAATGACGTATCTTTGAGTTCCCGCTAAAATTTGCTTTAATTCGAATGCAAAATCGATTATCGAAGTCACTGAATACTGCCGCATAACAGCATATTTGTCATTCTATAATGGGCATCAAAAATGAATTGAACTTACAATAAGTTTTTAATTTTTTAACGGGATTAAGCCATCTGACTGCAACTTTTCAATCGGCAGTGTAATTGCATACACAATGGAATGGAAGTTTTGAAAGTGGTCGCACATTGTTTTGTATTAAAAACAAGAAAATATACTAGAGTATTTATTTCTATCTACGAAATTATTTTGAGTATATAACTGATTTAAATAACGGTTCAAATAACGCACAATTGAACTGAATGATAATTTCCCATACACACAGCCCAGAGGAAAAAAACTAAATTATGGACGTCAGAGGGAAAAATTCTTTAACTTTTATCTGAAAAGTTCAGTAATTCGTAACCTCTAAAAGCATTTGACTGACTAATTTTCTCAATTGTACTTTAAAACCTACCACAAAACAAAATTAAACCATAGCGAATATGATTACGGCTTATGAAAAGCACTTCTGAACAACACAAAATATTCAAATTCATTTTAGTTGTCGTCATAACCAAACACTGCTATACATGAAAACAACCCTTCCAATTTTGTAGGCTTCGTAGGGTCCAGTCCCTTCCTGAGTTACACGTGCTGGTCACGCCCACCTGGAATTACACACAAGTCTTACCCGTATAGTCAAATTTTGCGATTAAGCCTGGTTCATAGTTCTGAACTTATTAGCGTACGCTAAATTCTGCACAAGGGTAAGCTTTGAAGCATACGCCTTTTCATCTTGCATATCCAAAAAGCGTGAACACGTACGTTTTCCGCATGTCCATGCGGGAAGCTTGAAACAATGTGCCATAAGCTTTTTCAGTTGATAGTTTCCAGACATGCCGTCGAGGAATGTTCCTCTTGCCCTTCTACTTGTACGGAGAAAAAAGAAAAGGAACAGCAGAACATGCTGGTATGTTCTACCTACAAATACTTTGCGAACCGTTTGCGGGATCGTGCCGTCATTGTCAACGATTTGCGTTCGATGTCAATGATTCAGGTATAAATAGCCATTTTTCTTGCTCCTGTCCAAGAATTAAATATTTCCCCCAATTCCTTACCCTGGGTTTCAGACCGACGTTCCTCTAGCAAGGAATCATACATGTGGGGGTATTTTTGTATCTCTTCACAAAGTTTTCCTTCAAAGTCAGCCATTGCTAAGAAATTTTCCGTACGGAAGGCAAAAAAGTTGAAGATTTCTCGATAAGTTCAAGGCATACGGGTTTGTGGAAAACAGGATAAACTTCCGTTTTCCGTATGCCTAAGATATGGGGCAAAATCTAGCGTACGCTAGGCAAGCCGACACAAAATAAGCTAGCGCCTCCCACAGAGAAATAGGGCGTACGGGTATAAGCATGAGTTAAAATTATCGCTTGAAAAAAGTTGATGGGTTTTAAGAAAAATACGAAATGCAACAAGCGAAAATTTCTCTGCTTAAACTTCATGCAGTATAAATTGGAGACAATGACTTGGTGAATCCAGCAATTGGTGGTCACCAATCGTGGTGGATATAATTCTATTCCCTTTCCAATAAGAATAGTCTTTATTATGACCTAAAACGTGGTCAGAAATAAAACAATTTGCTGTTCAGTAGGCTCAATAATCTCTTAAATATATACAAGCTTTAATTTAAAAGCAAATCATAAAAAGAAATTGATTGATCATGATCGATGTATTGTCAGGTGCAATACAAAACGCTATAAATAAAATCTGCTTCGCGACAGACATGTCTAAATATGTATTTACATAGCTGACAATCCTTGATGCTTACGTTAAGAGACGAATTTCCCTCATTTTGCACTTCGTTATTTTACGTTGTCATTGAATTTCTTCTTTCATAATTTTGAGCTATTCTGTGCACTACAACTCATCTACAAAAACCTAAAATTGTTTACAAAGATACTTTCAGTAGTCGCAGGACAATTATCTACTTCATTTTACTGTCCTGGTCGATGTCAATTCCTGGTTCCAACGGAAAACATAAATTTACAAGATAGCCTGAATTAGCAATTACTCATATTTTATCGCTTTTACACAATGTCTTATAAAACTATAAGATAATAAATAAACTAAACATAAATACTTTAAAAAAATATCAATAAAGGCTGCTAAAAGGCCGCTCAAAGGCTCCTGCTTTTCTTCTGGTTCCATATGAAAGATCACAATCAAGATCCTTCACCTAATACCATTAGAATCTATTACAGGAAATTTATATATTCGTGATAACAAATGAAAGACAAGGCACCATACCTGAATAGTTTTTGAAACTCTAAGTTAGAGTAATATAGAATTTAGGTAAGATCTCATTTTAGGCTTACTATAGTTTCGTCGAATTTGAATTTGAGTTTCCACGTGAACGACCTCCATTAGGGATGCTTTCTTCCGAAAACCAAATGGTAAGCTCTTGAGATTCGGTTTCTGAGAGATGAACAAAAGGTTTATGTTTAGAAATGGCATATGTTATTAATCACTTCCTCAAGACCTTTTCATTCTTAATGAGGAAAAATTTCAAGTTCTCATATACCATAATGTACAAAATTGCAATTTCACGGAAGCCTTCCCAAATTGTCATAAGGAAATCTTCGCGTGTCATTGTCAACATTAAGCAGTTGCAATCGCATCGTTTTCCATCATGCAATTTAGCATTTCAATAACGCCCCAGCCCCTGAGCAAAAATACTCTTATGTGCTTAATTGTAGGGGGGGGTCAAATAACATATTTTGAAAATTACAAAAAAGACCTCCCCCTATTCAATTATCACCCTACCATATTAGTGACTCAAACTTCAAAAATAGACAATCAACCAAGAACAGAAAAAAATGCTGATAACCATCGCAACTTTAATATCAACTATAAAAGCAAATGAGCGCTCTTGGGCTGTCATCCCCATATTCTGCTAACCAATAAATCTTCCCACTTGGTCATTTTATTTTGACCCCTCCATTTTATAAAATTTATGGCAAATACCCAACCCTTTGCTTATTCCAACCCCCTACAGTTAAGCGCGGAAGAGCACAACAGAGCCACACCTTGTAAAATTGGAAAAATGGACGACCAGCAGCATTTTGATGGTCCAAGACAACGAAAACCAAAGACTTTTCTACGTCTAGGAATCTCAATTTTGTCGTTGGAACGCGCTAAAAGATATCCTTTCTACTGCTTTTTTGAATGCAGTTGTATGTTTTGAATGACCAAAACAAAGGTGACGCGCAATAAAGATAGTAAAAAAAAGTCACAGATGACATATGTGTTAGTTCAGTTAATTCGAAGTTGGAGGCTTTTGGTAAAGAAGCTGAAACATTGATTCGTTTCAAATTAGGTTTAAGAGCTGTTTATTTGCTAGGAAAATATGAGACTTAGATACTGAACACAGAGTAGATCCTGGTACCAAGAACTCAAAGTTGCACATAATTACTTCTCCAAATGATTTCCATTTTCTGTTTTAGACCAATTGATGTACCACGCCTATAAGGTCCAATTGTGTTCTGCCCACAAAGTCTAAGTGTGCGCCTATTAGAAGCAACAAAGACAAAGGGCTTTGCAAACCACATTGCTATCGTTCAGATAAATCTGATTCATCGCCAAAGTCAAATTTAACTTCTAAGTCAGATTTTTGCCTCTAAGTCTAACCAACGAATGAATAGGGCCCTAATCTTATTACCTGTTTTCCACGGTAAGAAGCTTTCGTCTATTGAACTGTGAAAAGAAAATGACGAGATTAAATAGAACTTGCGCAATAAAGTAGTACGCAAATATTAAAATGAGCCACATGTAGATCCAGAGTTAATTACTCTGCATGTGATATGTAAAAGCAGCCACGAAATAATACCTAAATCATGTACAGTCGAGTCCCACTATCTCAAACTTGCACGGGAAATGAAAATTTGTTTGACATAGCGAGACTTCGAGATACCCAGATTCGGGATTTTTCCGATCAAAAAAGGGTCATCTGTGTTTCAAAGTAAAAATGAACCAAGGAAAAGAGCTCATTCGTTTCCGAAGCTTTGTTAAACATCAAACTAAACTAAAATGGCAAACGACAATGGTTTTGTTTCTATTGTTGGTAGCAGTAAGTGAATTCTTTTATCCAAGAGCACCGCGTTTATCATTCTACTTGGCAGCCCAGGAAAGGAAAGGTGTTGAAGGTCGTGATAGAGCCAACAACATAGCCGACAAATATGCAGTATGGGCACAGAAAAACGAAATTACTGTAGGACATTTACCATAAGGAAAGACAGACAGATTTGCAAAGACAATTTCTTCTTTTTCAGGTCAGATGAATTTAATTCCTGCGTGGCTGTGGTGGATGGCAATCGTGTAAACTTTTAAGATGACAATATAGTGCAAGTCCCTTGCAAGTTAATCATTTTGGGACAATCTAAGTTCATTTCAATTTTAAAAAAATTAATTATCAATGCAATGATAATTAATAGCTTAAAATATTTGTCACTTTTTGTTCGAGATAACTGGGTTTTCTCTTTCAAGGGTATAAAACGTCGTTCGAGATAGCAAATAGTTCGAGATAAGAGAGTTCGAGATAAGGAGCTTTATTTCTTTACCAAGCCCTAAAGAAAAACGAGGAGAAATGGAAATCTGTTCGAGCTAGAGAGTTCTTCGAGATAACCGAGTTTGAGATAGCGGGATTCAACTGTATTCCTCGGACGTTTTGGGAACTGTTTGCATTGTCCTAAGAGCACAAAGCTGAAAATTGATTCACCTTATTATACAGACACGACGGGGTTGTAATGCAAGAAACTTTCCCACATCCGGGTCAATCCATTATCTTATAATTTTTTATATGCTTAAGGTCCTTTAGAAAGTATGGGTGGCCTTCTTCACGTAGATGCTCAAGAAACCCCATACAAAGATCAGAGTTACACTCTCAATTGAACAGTTTGTATCAGGTTGGCCCCAGGAAAAAATTTGGCCAAGATTTTCCCGAGGCCTTAAGTGCTCTCTACAAATTTCCTTGGCTTAAAAATGAAGATCTTTTCAACATCAAAGTTATTGGTTCAACTGAATCTGGTTCATATTCAATTTTTTTTGGAGCGCTGTGTCTGAAGTATTTTAGTGACGCTAGGCACCCCTTGATGTTTACTACTATTCAAACATATCAAGCTTTAGAGCACTCCAAAACTGTCACACAAAATAATTATTTAATGTTGAAATACTTTATTACTCCTGGATAACTAAGAAATATGCTGATGATTCTCGCCATAGTTATGAAACACAAACCTGTCTTTTTGTATCCCTACGTCATATTTCTGTTTTCTCTTCCTCCTGGCCCTAGTATTCATTGAGAAACGTATGAAAATACTTTTGAATACAAATACTTTACAACATGTTAATAGGTTTATCGATACGGAAGAAAACACCTAGACGAAGTATTAAACAAGTATGAAGTGTAGATGAAGCGCAGAGTGTATATTTCATTCATGTGGCATTGTTTTATAGATTGAAGAGTAGATTGAAAATATCAGCTCTACACTGAGAAATGTTTTTACCCTAGTGATTAAGATATTTTAGGATGAAAATAAAGAAAATAACTGACAGCAGATGAAGGTTCTATGGAAATGAATCAAAATTAATTATTTTCCAAGAACCACTGGCCATTTATGTTGACACTGCAGATACAAAACCCGGTACACTTTCTTTCACAGAATGGTCAAAAGCTCTTTGTTACATTGTAATGTAAGGTAACGACTTATAATTGGATAAAGAGCAAGCATAGAGGAAATATAAACGGGATAGGTTTAAGAAAATTACGAACTGGACTTTAGGCAGATAAAACAGCCAAATTTCAAAGAGTTTTTGATATCAAAGTTTATGATTTGAATGGGCTTACCAACAACAGTAGCATACACATAGTGCAAGCAGTAGAAACAACAACGCTCCTGCAAGCGCCACAAGAGCAACCCAGTATGGGAAACGGTACTTGGCTACCACGACTGACACACGACTCCGCTTTGGAACCAACGGGCCTGAAACAGAAAGCACTGAAGTTAATTTAAAACAAGGCTTGCACAAAAGCTAAGGCCTGGACCTAACGTCACATTTTATATGTGTCGAATGCAATTAGTGAAAAAAGCGACGTCATAGCCACTATACACTAGATGTTGTATCAATGAAACAGATCGATCTTTGGTTTGCTTCCATCAGTTGTTTAAAATAGTAAAACCACAACTACTAGGAAAAGGGTGGTGCTACTATTCCGTTGGCAATCGTACACATTGATGTACTTTTCAAAAGTTAAAGTATGAGAAAGTTGATTGTTTAGATCAAATTAATAGAAATGAACTATACTTTTCTATTGAGTATGCTTTGATTGGTACTGAAATTGCAAGTGTGGATTACTTTTTCTAGGCCTTAAAAAAGCGAAATTACTGAGAAAAAAATCGCGAAGTTAAGATGAAATTGTTATAAGTGAATGTTTTTACGAACGATGCATTTCTAGAAGAGAATGGTCTCTAATAGCATCACTTTAAAATGAAAAAATAATTGTTATTTTTTTTCATTTTCAAAAAATTTAAGGGGGGTAGCCCTTGAGCAAATGCTTGTTTACAAGGGGTCCTCCATTTTTTACAATACTACAATTAAAACCAAAGCAGATCCATAATTTTATCCAAAAGATGTACAAAATTAATTCACAATACATTTCGAAAGTAAATAGAGTTTTATCTAATTTTGGTTTTGAAGACCCGCAGGGAAGATGTCTATTTGATTTCAACAATAAGGGCATTCCATGCCTGCACACCTCTAAAAGAAAGGCATTTTTGCCAATGTTTTCACTCAGGAACCTCTTGCAACTTTTGGATGAACCGCTATATGGTTTCCAAACTGCAGCATCGGCAGTAAAAGTGTGAGATGTGTCCAGGCTTAAATAAGAAACTGCAATGCTAGGTTCCTCCTATTACATTGATTACCACAAAATATGTCTTAGAACAATTCATTCACAGTTTAGAAAGATAGTTTAGAATTGACAAACCTAGCAAAACCTTGATTAAACATAGTAATGTCATGCAGAAATAATCAACTTTTTGCCTATTGCACGGGACGGAAAGGCGAGCATAATATCCCGTGCTACAACAATTTCGTCGTTACCCACTAGCGCATGTGCCAGATGCAATCATTGACAAGGAATAAAACGTATCACATGACGTCACACATGGCCGTGGATGCGTATTAGTGCGCGAATTCGGTAGCCGTTCGTTTTTTCTAGTTAGATAATAAAACTGTAGCATCACTGAGCATCTTTGTATCAGTAGGCCTCCATACATGATGCTTCCTGGTTACTGGAATACACAAAATATAGAATCAACTAATTTCAGAAAACTCTTTCGCACCCGAGTGTTATTGAACAACGTCCTGTTAATTAGCTAAATAACGATGCACAAAAATCTGCACCTTTACTTGATCTAGCAAGCTAGAAACAAAAGTAAATAAGCTTCAGCTCGCTGACCTGTTTTGAACGTTTTTGTGAATCCGGTCTTTATGAAACTTTTTGATCCAGCGTATTGTATTTCAAGTTGAAACCTAAAATATGACAGAAATTCTTGAACAAAAAAGCGCACTTCAACATTGCCACTTGAGGTTTTGAAAGGTCTCACAAAATTGGTTATTACCGACACACAAACGAGCAAGCAAGAAACACAATTTTCAAGGGAAAGGGCAGTATCTCAGATTTTTGAGACACAGTAATTTACTCCAGTGAATAAGATAATTCTAGAAAATTCTGAAAAATAAATGGGAATAGTCACTTTTAAGTGTTATCATTATAAGAACTTCCCTTCAATAATAGGAATACAGGAATTCCCAGCAAAGCCGAAATTAAAAATTTAAGATCATAAATCAGCTGTCTGAGTAATTTAGTCTGTCTTTCATTGATGAAGAACATTTTTTAAGGCTTATTATAACAGTAATTTTCATGAAGTTTTGCAAGTTGCCCAAGGATGATATGCAGTTATCTTGTGCTGGTAAATGTGACAAATCCCCAAAACTTGCCACCACCAATCCAACGAAGAGAATTGGCATAAAGTAAAAAATATATTATAAAAAGATTTCATTAGAACCATTTCAGAATACAAAGATATTCAAAGAGAAAGCAAATATAGGATAAATTCGATAGTTTTATTTTTACCTGTATTCATTGCCTGGCTGCAGCGGTCCATTACATATTTTATTTGCTTTCCAAATTTCCCCGCAATGACTTTCGTCACCAAATTTAAACTTCATCAGCACTTGATTTGGTTCAGAGATATCTCGCCGAACGCGGCTCTTGTTTTGAAATGTGAAAGTCCGTTGCGACGCAATAAACCTGCGCAGGTGATTTTCCCTCTCACCCCTTCGATAGTAAACAAAGTACCAAGTAACTGGTGGCAGCTGTGAGTACTGCGAGTCTGGAGAATTCAAAAAATTCAACTCTTATTTCTTGTATACACGGTTATAAGGGTCTAATGGAAATGAGAGAGATCTTAAAAAGCTTTAAATTCGACATGTTTGCATACTGCAAGGAAGCTGCAATTTTGCTGAATAACGAAAAGACAACGAAACGTCATCAGCCAGCACGCTACCTTTAAAAAGTCACTAAAAAATGCGAAAAAGACAGAACTTACAATACGGATGGGAAAAATGAACCTCTTGAGCTATGAAACGCACATCCAGTTCACTGTCTTGCCGAGTGATATACTGCCCAACGTCAAATTCAACTTCCACAAACGTATAATTTGAATCAAGAAGGCTACTTTTTAGATCATCTTCGTGTGTGTTATTCGAAATGTGAATTGTCATGCTATTAAAAGCACACTGCCTTGGTACACCAGAGTCACAAGCAGTGATGGGAAGAATATACTCTCTGCTGTCTCCAATTTCCTTGATTTTCAAATCTCCAGTTTCAGAATCGAGTGTGAATTCCTTCACCGTTGAGTTGGTTCCAAAACTGTAAGTCATCTGACTATTTGTACCAAAGTCTTGGTCAACAGCACGTATTCTGGTTACAAGTCTGCCTGGCTTCAAGGATCCACTTATATAGGTCTCAAGATTTTGATAGGCGAAGTATGGTTGATTGTCATTAACATCAATAATACTAATACGGATCCTTGTGTAACCCCTTAACGTGTAATTGTTGTTAATTTCAGCAATAAGGAACAAATCATAAGAACGTCGTGTTTCATAATCTAACGATTTTACTACGAATACGCCTCCAGTTTTTGGGTTAGTTTTGAATGTGAAATTTGAGTTCTCTAAAATGAAATACCGAATCGTGACATTATCTGGAGACTGTATGACCGGTTGTATGATCTGCTGCCCGGGCTCAATGTTTTCTGGTATAGAAAGCTGGTGTATTTTCTTTTGAAAAACTGGTAGCTGGATGCTATTTACCCTGGCCGATTTCATGCTAAGGTGTATGCATACCAAGGCCTGATCTGTGCTCACCGTTTCACGACCACTGGATGCGATGACGACAAAAACATACCTTTTAACTTGCAAAATGTCAAGCTTCTTTGCAAACTTAATGACCCCATTTTTCTCTCCAATAATGAAAGGAAAACTTTCATCATTGATTTCGATGCTGTACCTTATATCTCCATATAATCCTAGGTCCTTATCAGAAGCATTTACCTGCAGATCAAAATCGCCAATCTCTGCTTCCTCGATAACGTTTCCTTCGTAAAGGGTCTGTGAGAATTTTGGAAGATTATCGTCAACATTTTCGACATCGATCACAACCTTGACGGCAGTGCATTCAGAATTACCATCTACGTCACAAGCGAAGACCGTCAGCAAATGCTTTGTGCAGTTCTCGTAGTCCAAGGGTAAGCTAGTAAATATTTTCCCTGTTCGTTCTGAGATCGTAAAATAGTAATGATTTTCAGGCTTAATGAAAATGTATTTTAACTGGTGATGGCTATTTTCAGGATTATGCGCCTTGACTGTAGTTACCAAGGAACCTACTGATACATCTTCCCGGATTTTGATACGGTAAACGTCATTTGAGAATCTCAAACCAGACGAAAATATTGGCACAATTATAGTCTTTGCAACCTTCAAAATGATTGTCGCCTTGTTTGTACTTGCTAAGCCTTGGCCATCGAACGCTACAACTTTCACAACAAATGTCTTGCCAGCCAATGCTTCAAGTTTGCGGTCAATAAAAATATTTCCAAAGCCATCAATTTTGAACGGAAAAGCTTCAGCAGGTTCCAAAACATGAAAAGTTATGTTTCGATTGGTAGGATCAAAATCTGCATCGTAGGCATAAACTTTTGAGACGATGCTGCCAACCTCAGTTGTCTCTGTAACGTTGACACGATAGATCGTCGGCTCAAAATATGGTCTATTATCGTTAATGTCAATAATGCGAACAACGACTTCAACAAATGCACTAAACGGTTCATTTTCTGCAATAACGAATAGGATAAAATACCGCCTTTTCCGCGCCGCTACTGGCTTCCTCAAGGTGATTATCCCGCTTTCCTGGCCTATTTCAAAATACTCCGAGTCCGTGTTGTTGTGCAATGAATACAGAACCTTTGCATTAATCCCTGTGTCTTTGTCCTTAGCCTTTGCAGCGAAAACCACTTGCCCAACTTGGGCGTTTTCTAGCAAGTTGACTTCATACGAAATTTTCTCGAATTCGGGACTATTGTCATTTTGATCTATAATTCTCATTTGTATTTTGACAGAGGACTTTGCAATACCATGAAAGTCTTCATTAATGGCAATCAATGTGAAGTTATAAAGTTTGCGGGACTCATAATCTAAACTCTTTCTGGCCATGATATCAGCTTTATCTCTGGTCTTTTCAGGAAATATGCAGAAAATTTGTTGCATTTCAGCTGAAATATGAACATATTCTGTAAGGCATGGTAATGTATTCAACGCATAACACACAAACAATATGGATATCATACAAAACCGAATTTCTTTCGGCTTCTCGTTACATCTACTTGTTTAAATTGACGTCTACCAAATTATTTTTTGTTGTATCAAACTTCTCGTTGTGAAAAGTAGTTTCAAACTGACATAAAAAAGATATAGGCTGTACTTGCTCACATTAATCATTCACAATTGCATACAACAAAAATGTGTTTTTAGCAATTATTATCAAATGGCAAAATTACCAGGCTGAATATAGAAGCGAACAAGACCATTCTCGGGGTCTTTTGGAGTAGCAGCTTTGACGTTGATTATCGCCAATGACTGGCGTGGAGGAGCATTTTCAAGAATATCAACCGTCAGATTTGAAACCTGAATTCTTGGCCTAGGATCTAAAAAAAGAATAAGTCTACAGTTATATGTCTCCAAATAAGATATTCATAAAAGCATATTATATTTTATAGAAAAACTGTACGGGTTTATGATACATGGAACAACAAAAAGGGATCAACTCACCATAAACAATTACTCGTATTTCATGGGAAACAACAAAGAAATCACCCGTGGCTATTTTGCATCGATAAATTCCAGTATCGTCTTCCGATGCCGATTTAACAGTAAGGACGCCTTGTCTTGAACTTGGAATAAAGTCAACTACCTGAAATGTTAAGTTTGTCAATGAAGGGGCTAATAATAATAATGATAATCAAGATTCATTGGCAAAAAGTGCTTGAAACATCGATTCCTTAGTATAACTACAAGGTATGTTTACCTTGTTATCTCTAAGCCAATAAAAATCGACAATTCTTGAGTCGTGTGTGCCACAGGTTAGGATAATATCTGCGCCAATCCTATACGCTCTTTCTTTGTTTTCTGAAGTTTTAATCCGAAGAAGGTTCGACTCGCATCTGTCCAATGACACATCTTGATCTGCAATGCAATCAGTAGTAGAGGATTGTAATGGAATCGGCAATACAGCAGAGAAGCATGTACACGAACAATGATGTCAAAGACAAGGGAGATATAAGACAAAATCTGTATCATGGATTGAGCGTTATTCTGTATTTTGCAAGCTAGATAGAAGATAAAAATCTATAGCTAAAAACAACACGTATATGGCTGGTGGGCTCAACTTTGCTAAAAAAGCTAGCGAATTGTATCAGTGTTCGGAAGAGTGAAATCTGAAAAAACGCTTGCTATGAACACATGCTGGTTATAAAAAGAAACATTGATATAAAACTTCTGGCGAATCTGAGTTTGCGAGACGAAAGAGGAAAGAACACGAGCAGAGTGAATTAATTCACTTGAACCAAAGAATTGCGGGTTTTGGTTCTGTAAACTGTAGTTTTCGGTCAAGTGTCAGAATAACTTTGAAAGAAGGTCTGGTTGAAGAAGGATATGATAAGAAAGGAGCATATACACAGAATGACCCTGGAACATAACAAATAACACTCGGAGATGACGTGCAGGCCCTCTTACCAAAAAGAGCAATTGAGAAAGTTGATCCTGATATGATGTGCAGCGAAGTTGGCTGATCAGCTGTCAACTTCAGTTCAAGGAGATTCCATTTCTCAGCAGAAACCAAAGCCACTAAATTTATTGTATAAACTGAATTGTTATGAATCAAATTCACAGAAGTTGCCTCTGGGACTTGGTGGTCGTCGTGGTACAAAGCAACTGTGATTTTGCTGTAAAAACACAATTCATAATTCAAACTACCGACATTATAGTTTAGATTCGATAATTGAAAAGGGCAGATAGTAATGTAAGAAAAAACATGAAATTCTACAGTCTTTAAGGCGAAGAGGTCGTTGACAGTTTTTTCTGCTAGGAAGACAAAATATGTTCAAAAGTGTCATAACAAAAGCATCATAAGGTTGTAACAAAAGTGGATACTTTTCAGTGAAGATCAAATGCCTGCTTAATTCATTGCTACAATAGCTTTAATCTAGTACGGACGAAGTTTTGCCAAAATTTCAAAAGCAGAAGAGACGATTCTCGCTTAACAAGAAAAGCGCGAAAACTGCTATCCTGAACCTTATTATACCTTGTTTGTGATGTCTTCACTATAATATTTGCAGTAGCCATATATTTGCCACTCATTTGAGCTATAAAGCTCCCAAATGGCTGTTTAAAACCAAAAGAAGAGTCACAAGTGATGCCATGTTGTGTTGACCAGCCGTCCAATCTTGTTCTTTCTCTTTTGTCAAGTGACACAATCTGGTCACTGTTTTGAATTGCACTAAAACCTTCAACATTCGAAGACCTGTCAATCAAACTGAATGACACTGTCGAATTTCTCACCAAAGTTGCGTTGACTATATCAGAATACTTTATTTGAACAGCCAGCACAGTTTCTAGGCATATGATAACATTAAATGTCATAACATCAAATACAGCATCATTCAACATTGAGGTAGCCAGGGTCACATTCTGCAACTCAGTTTGGATTTGAAGAGCAAGTAGAGAATTTGATGAAGTTGACACTTTCAGTCTCACTGAAAAAAGGCCAACTACACAGGCAGCTTTTGATCTGCCCGAAAAGTAGCTTTTAAGTGTCTCGATTATGCTAAAGAACTTGTCAATTTTGTAATAAGAATTGTTCATTAAGTAGAAATTCGCCTCCAAATCTTGCGTTTTTGTTAATTTGAATCTTGGTAGCCCCAAAGCTTGCAAGCATCTCGAATTAGGATTCCTCTCATCAGGTTTGCTTCTCTGCAAAGACAAGGTCGTGTTGCAGGCTTGGTTTTGATTGGCTTGGCGGTCTTGAGCACTGCACCATGAAGACTGGCATTGCAAATTAAGAGACCAAGAGTTGGTAGGGAGGAATGACTTCTCAAATCTGTATGAATAAAAGTAATTCAGTTAAATCTTATTGGTTGATTTTGGAAAATTGTAGTCATTACAGAAAAAAACAAGACATCTAACTACACTAGCACCTCTACCCACATAAAAAAATCATAAGAAATCAACAAGCCAGTTTGAAAATATCACAAATCACCAAAGTTTTCATATCTTTTCTTACTTAGCATTTTGACATGGCTAAACACGTCATTTGGAGTAATAGAAAACTGAAATTGGGGTTACACGTTGACCTAAGTCCTATTTTCATATCGTATAAGCCAAGGCAACAGCTAGATATTTTGAATAACAATTGCAATGCATCGTAACCTTCAATACTTGAGCTGGAAAAGAACATTGATACATTAATACTTTATTTTCTATTTAAGCTTAACAAATATACTGATTCAATTTTAGGGCTCATTTCAAACCATTAGAGTCAAGCTTGTACAAGTCTAATACTTCGATGCTGGGATAAAAATTTCTGGTACCAGTCAATTAAGTTTCAATGGTGCCAATGTTCACCAAATAAAATATCTCTACCTTAAAGAAAAAGCAAAGCCAAAATATTGTTACGTATTTTCATTTCAATGGCTCTTTTGAGAAACAAATCTTTTTCAGACACCGTTCAGGAGTTCATGACAAAAGATCTTGGCCCGATTTGTCTTTTTCTATCTTTACCACTCACTGATAGCACTGCCCACTCAGTTTCAAATCTGCGGTACCAGTCACCATTTTTCATACGTGTTAGCTGAACCTCGCATGCAAAAGTCGGTCGTTTTTGTCTGGGCCCCGGAGATCTATCTTCTTTGGGCTCGACTGTACAAATAAATATGTTCTACACCCAAATTCATAAATAACTCTTTACATGAAATATCAAAGTTTGCTGTGATGTTGAATAGAATTTTTGTAATGAAAGCGGTCGTATGGTATAAAATGAGGGCAACAAAAAGATAGATTGTAGACTTACCCTTTTGAGTATTCTTTTGAATTTGAATGTTCGTTGTATAAAGCTGCATTTTCTGGATACGAAAGCGCAACAAAGGATAAACTCGACCAGCTGATCCTTGCATTTATACGTGAAAGGTCAAACTTGCTGCCTTCCTTCATCCTGACAGCCAATGTGAGCTGCTGCCATGGCTCCATGTAAACCAAGCCGCTCCATTTCACAGTCCTTAGTGTCTTACTATTGAGCTCTGCTTCAACAGTTAAACCTTTTTTTGCAAGTGCTGATCCAGCTAGGAGAACAACACCGTATTCCAAAGTGCCATTGATGCCATGGAAAATAGTTGTAGCCGAGACAAAAGCAACTGTCGATTTAAAAGCATAATAATTAAGGCCTAAAAATCTGACGTCATCAGTTTTGAATTCTCCCTTGGCATTTTCATACACACGTTTGCTTAAATATTCCCAGCCATTCTGGCGAAAAGATAGGAGTTTTGTAGAACTTTGGAGGGTACGGAAAGTCTCTGGAGGGTGGCTAGATTTCCCGTGAAAGGTCATCGACAGATGACCGGACAAAATTGTGGCATTAATACCCAGTCTGTCCGCATGCAAAACGGTACGAAATCTGGAGCTTTTCTTAGTTTCTAAAACACCAATTACATTTAGAAAAATACTAGTGGTACCGTTGGCTTTAGCATGTGCCTCAACTTTATCGCGAAGTCCGAAATTCATGTTTTTATCATCGAAATAGGCTACAAGAGTCAATCCAAAATTGGGGATGGTAACATTTGACTTGGTCAGTATTTCAACGTAACATGAAATCGTGTAATACCCATCTTCAGGAGCTACTGGCATTCCATGTGATGTAAAACTGATGGACCCAGAAGTTTTCGGAATCCAGTTTTCGATGTTATGATCACCTTTGGTATCGAACTGTATGAGGTTGGACTGTGGCTGCAGCACGGAAATGAAAGTTCGACCGCTTTCAACGAAATCAACAAGCGAAATAAATAGCGAACTTGTTTCGCGTATCGAAACAACGCCATCTGACACAACACTAAACGAAACAAGATCATTTTCTTCAAGATTATGCACGAAGATTGGATTGATAGCAGTTGTACCTTCGAAAACAGTCATATTAACATCGAAAACTTTTACTGAGCGGAATGACTCGGTTAATACATTTGGTGTATGGGTTTTCTTCTCGATCCGTATATTGATTGTCTTTAAATCTGAACTTCTTCTCGAAAATACCAAATTCAGGGCAATTAGGTACAGCCCGCGCATTTGCGACCTGAATTCAGTATTTTCTTTTGCGAACGAGCTTCCCAACGGCAATGCATTAAGAAATGAAGAGTTCAAGTGAAGAATTTGCAAGTAGCGCATACTGTCAGTGATAAGAGGCTGTCCCCTCAAGAGAAACCCTGCTGCGATATCGTGTGACCTTACAGCCATGAAGCTAATCCAGCTATCTCCAAGTATCCCAAAACCATCTTTGCATGAAGATCGCAAGGAGATTGATACGAAATCGTGTGCTTCTAAAGCAAGAACTCCGTTCACCGTAAATGAAATTTGTTCATACTTTTTGGGAAGCACGTCACAGTTAACAGGCTGTGGCCTACCATACAGTGAAGTTACTTTGACAATTCCCTCATTGAAAACGAGAACATTTGCAGTTATTTCATCCAGAGCGCTAATTTTCATGTTCAGGTAGATCATTATGACGTACACACCATGCTTTGGCACGGCTATCGAGTAAAGATGCTTCTTCTGTTGTCGCTTTTTTATGTTATATTTACCAATAACCCATTCTGGTACATAGTTCGTGATTGTATGTACAGCTACTTTTGATTCAAAACCTTTTTCCTTTAGAGGCTGAGAGAATTCAACAAAATTATTATCATCGCTGTCAATATAAACAGCAGAAAAACGGCTGCCGGCTAGAATGTGGACACCTTCCATTTCTGGGCTTTTTACCTGTAATGTAAGCTCTTCAAATTTACTCAAATTTACGTTCTTCACTAAGGTCACTGTCGCAAAGCCAACATACTTGAAAGAACGCTGAAATCTTATTTCGGTGACATTGGAGACAAGATTTATTTCGTAGGTTGTATCTTTTGCATAAAATGACAGGGTGACAGTTACCAGGTACATGCCATCACATGCTACTGCCAGCTTCTTAATACCTCCAGATATACCTGTAAAAGAGACAAAACTCGTGATTTTGGCAAAATTCTGTATAACAATGGTCAATAAATCACTAGGAACATTAAATGATTTTAGATGTTTTGACGTCTCCAGCCTTCATTGGCCACGTCTTTTGCACACTATTAAGAAAAAGAAAGTTGAAATTACTCAAATATACAGCTAACATCAATACCTAAAGTGTCTACGCAGCGAATTTTTTATGTCCTGCTTGTTTTTAAGTGTTATATTTTCCCATCTTTTCCAATACGTTTGACACCAAAATAGTCATAATTTGACCAATGAAAATGTAATTAATCAGAGTTTGAAATTAGGTAGTACTTGAGAAAACCAAGGCCAGTTTGTGACGTCACAGTGATGAGTCGCTTCGATAGCAACCAAGAAACTGTGGTCGTACAGAAAAGGTATTCGTTTAGTGCGCTCGTAAAAAAGTTGGGTTTGTCTGTTAATTTTGAATATTTTACTGTACATCGGAACAACGATCGATGAAGGCACTGACAATAAATAAACCATCCATCGACAAACGTGCCTTTTCCAGCCTTTTCCAAACCCAGCGAGTCCTATTTAACAAGTGGAGAACACAAAGCCAGATCTGAACTCAACTAATTGCCATAGGCCCCCACTTTTTTGCGAAGCAAGTAGTTTTAAAGATGCAGTTATAAGGGAAAGAAGTCTTGGCCCCCTACTCATGCTAGCCTTGCCCCCCATTCGTGGCGTGGCTAAAAATAGCACAAGGGTACATTTTTCATTTTGCGTCCATATCCTGTCCTTTTCTGCGTATCAAACTGTCTTTTGTTTTCGAGTTTCATGCTTTTGTACCAAAGTGAGACGGAGATCCGATATTACCGTCTGTAAAGGTCTGTGGCAAAGTTAAGGAGTGAAATATAAGGAGAGAAAATAAATTGTGAAGGCGGTGATTGCCTTTCGCCTTTTCGGATCGAAATGTTGCGATACTGTGCAGTCTTTAGCGCGACCTTCTACACAATCCTTTTTCAATCCGCGCGAAAAAATGTTGGGTGAAATGTTGGAACGTTTGACTCTTGAAAAAGTGTTTCCTGACAAAGAATCTGCTTATGTCTGAAAAGCCTTGATCTTTAAATAGCAAATCACCAGCAGTAACTAATACATAAAGCCTAGATTCCCTTTTAAATGAAACTCACACTGCGCTGCTCAATTCGTACACGCTTAATCATATCTCTTTGCAAAAACAGTGAGATTCTTCAAGAAGGATCAGGCGGGTAAGAAGATTACTTCGAGTCGATAGGAAGAATCAGTCGCAGCGTAGCAAATATTGACATAACCTTATTCTGGAAAGCCGGTTAAGAAGCCACGGATATTCGCAAATTCCACGGAAAGAAGACAAAAGTCGCAATATCTATAAATCATAATCTGCAACGCTTCTATACAGTAAACATGTTGATCAACATCTTTATTAGCACAAGAGATTTACCAAGCTTTCAGCCGAACATCCTATCGATACTTTTGTTTGTGACCACTTGATCGAGGATATTTTGCTTTTGAAATGAAACCGTCTGAAGATATAAAATCTCTATTTTTAAATTTTTTTAGAATAAACAATTTCTAGTCAAAATATCAGGGAATGATGTTCTCAGAATGGCTACATGCCAACACGTTTATATCCGAAATCTGTAGAAATTTGAAGATATTCAAAATTTTTGAAGGCAGGATCAACAAACCATGATCAACAAACTAAAGCTATGTTGACTAGTTTGTTTATCTAATTTATTACAACATTCTAACAAAATGCATAAAAGGAGATACAAAGTTCCTTGATCACCTTATATATATAATGCAGTGACAGTTCATGGGGATAACTTGCCTACATTTCATATTGAAAATAATGTTATCGAAAGAAAATCAATTAAAACTGATATTTACCATTACTTGTGCTAACAGGCTTTGAATAAATATTTTGTTTGTGCCATCCACGAATTGTATTGAATCCAAGCTGGTCTTTGTATTTCAAGGTTCTATTTTGTGGAAATATGGCTAGGAATCCTGGTTCTCTTGAAGGAGAGCCAAGATATTGAACTGCAAAAGTAGATGCCTTCAAGACAAAGCAGTTTTCACTTGCCAAGACTCTTAATGTCAGTTTCTCATGTTTGACAAAGGAGCCTTGAGTTGCAATGAAGTATGTGTGCTCATTTTGATCACTTGTTTGACATACATTATTTGCAACACAAATTTGAATCTGAATTTTGGATTCAGATGAAACCATGATATTTGCAGAGATAAAATAGAGACCAGTATATGGCAAGTGAGCACTTCCTTTCTTTGCGTCTAGTTGTATTCCATACTCAAAAACAAGAGAATACCCTCTATTCTCCCAGTCACCAATTGCAGTCCATTTTGATCTTTTGATTCCAAAGTCTGACTTTAGTCTTGCTGAGAAGCCAATTTCTGGGCTGGCCTCTAGAGAGATTCAAAAGAATTGAATTTTTTATTTAAGAATTATGGAATAAAATTAAAAAATCAAGGCAGCCAAAATTGTGTGCATCCAGGAACGAACTGGCCAGTTGGGTTACCTTTTCTTGTCAGGATTGCTTTGATAAATCATTTATTCATAGGATAGTCACAGAAGGTATACACAATGTAAGAAATATGAATATCAATCTGGAAATACTTTTGACCCTACTTTTTGCTCACTTAACTTGCCGGCAGTGTTAGCCTCAAATTTGAAATCACCTTGGCCCTTGTTTAGGTGCTAGTCTGTTTAAGCAATTTCTCCCTTCAAACATTTTCAAGGTAAATTACCAGAAAAACTTCATTAATTCTTTACACGCATATTAAGCTGAAGGAAAAGACTTGTGAAGGCACACAGTTGACGAGTGAAAAATGATGACAACTGAACAGGTAGTAAATAATAATCTGACATGGTTTTGATGGTCATGTTAGCAACAGTTGTAAATTCTTAATGCTTAAGAACTAAACTGGGCTGATCTAACCTCTATGACCCCTACACTTTGAAGCTTGAAGTGGGCCCCTGTCTATAGGTTAAGACCTATTGTTCTAGGTATTCTTATTGATTTTATTGTCCTTTTTTGATTCTCTGTGAATGGCATGAAAATTAAGTGCAAAAATGCTTTTGAGGAGGTGATTCAATTATAGAGACTAAAGAATGGGAAACCTCTATTTTTATTTAGCTATAATTCCATGATGAAAAATGTTAGTTCTTCTTAGAATTGGTTATGTTTTATCTGTAGTTTTGCCAATTCCTTAGTTAACATTAGATATAATTATATTCTTATATGCCTACATGTAAAGCTATACCTCCACTGCATCAATCACTATATGTCCAGGGCCTGTGCCACAAAGGTAGACATGAGCGAGGGGCAAATCACTCCAAGAAAATCCCATTTACCTTTTGTGAAAATACTAACAATGCAAAACATTTGAATGCATTAATTGGGTGAAATAAGCGCATTTTAGAGCAAACTTTGGCTGGAAATGTTTGCAAATCTTGCTGACGCCATAGAAAACTTAGTATTGTTTTATCTGAAAATCCCTAGAAAACCTTTTGTTTTAGGGAAAATCTTGTATGCTATTTGCAAGAGTGAATTGCCCCTCGGCCATGAGGGTCATGGCCTCTCTACTTTTTTGTGACATAAAATATCAAATTAGAATCAGCTCAAATCACTCTTGATAGGTGAATATGTATATGACAACAAATACATTGATCAAAAATCCATTTTAGTAACACAGCCTCTGCAATTTTTTGCCTCAATTGGGGCTAGAAAGGGCAAGAGGAATTTTCTTTACACTGTTGGCCTTTCCAATTTAAGATCAGTGGCACCAGCTCTTTCTGACATACCATCACACCCCATAAATCAGTTACTTTCAACTTATCCTTATTGGTAGAATAACTAAGAAAAACTAATATACACAAAACTTTTGAAGAAGGCATGCATTTTTATGGGTTTGCAGAGTATGGCCGATTTTGACAAGATCTTGGGTGCACCAACAAGCCTGCATTTCAGGAGTAGGTGTGAAAAAGTCATCAGAAAAGTCAGGTGCACCAGCACTATCAACATTTCCAGTATATAATAAGTAGATCTAGTTTTTAGGTGTCCCCCCTCCCCAGCATTACCATGTCAAAATGTTGGATGCACAGTCACCATACTCAACCAAGTAGCATTTTCAAACTGTTTGTAAATTATTCTTTCATATTTATTTCTACCTGACTGGAAAGCAAGAAATTGTCTCAGAAAAAACTATAAGGAAATTGAATGGAACTTCTATCTCATTTGCAACAAGCTTATAAAATGGAGAGGATGCATTCTGTGACAATGTTTAAAACTACAAAAATATTAAATCAGTTTTATCTTTGATGACATTTACTCAATGTCCTTCTTGTATATGAATTTATATGAATTAATAAAATACAAACTTTCTATTAAGATTATAGTTAAATTAATTTGCATTTAAGAGAAAAAATTTAACATTTGGATTAATTGTACAGGATTTGACTTTATTTCTGAAGGTGGCAAGTTATCGTAATTATAACATCATTCACCTTACGTCAAAAGTTAGAGGGTTTGTAAATCCATAAAAAAATCCTGGAAATCTAGAGAGGAAGTCCGGAAACTTTTACAATTGCAGCAAACGACAAAATAATTACATTAAATTGCTGTACAAACTATATCTGGATTTAGGATTTGAAGATCCATTATAAAGAAACCGTAATTGAACCTCGCCACATGAACATCAAAATACCATTAATTCTCTGACAGGCATTAAGAAAAGGGGTACTTAAATATATAACAATAAAAAGGGCTTTGGGGGAATTGGGGGTAGAATGACAGGGAAGTTCCTCTGTTTTTGAAGGTTGGTTAAATGAATAAGGATCAAAGCCAAAAAGATGAAGATTCTTACTTACCAACAGGTCTAAAGGAGAACGCAATAATCAGTAAGGTCAAGCATGCGGAAGTGTGTTCCATGTTAGTGTGCGACGGCGTGATTTCATCCAGTTAGCTAAACCGAGTGCGACCAACATTGATATCGTCTACTTCCACGACCAAGCTAATCCATCTTCATCAACATTACCTGATATGACAACAAAAAGCGAATAGAGCTCTAAAACCATTTACCAAAGGAGTCCGAAAATCGGCGCCTTATGACAGAAATTGCTGGTTTTTTGGTTTACCAGTAGTGCTTTAATGATCAGCTTTAAATTTTAATTACATGAAATACCTCTCAATACACGAGATTTTCCATCGGATTTTCTCAGCGGCTTTTAGAAAAGATCGACTTTCTTCTTTTGCGTCAAAACTTCGGTAATCCCAGGAGCTACAACAGCAACAATGGATTTCCCAGATTCCCCCACTTTTCCAAATCGTCGGCTGGTCGATTGGATTGGTTAGTTTGTTTGTCAATGCGGGTTATGCGGGGACGAAACTCTGGTTTTACGACTAGAATTTTAGCTGTAGTAGACAACGGACCTAGATTCTTCCTAGTTTTAAAACACAACAAGAAATGCTTTTGAGAAATTTCGTCGCCAACATTTTAGAAACTGAGTGAAATGTTTATAAATCGACATGGAAACAATTTGCCACCGTCTTTATTTATTGTTTTGAAAATGTTTTGTTTCACTCTCATGGCTGCATGATTACATCTTCCCCTTAGAATATCAAAACAAAAAGACAAAACCTCAATTGATTCAACACAAAAAAGGCGTGCTTAAACCTCTAGTAATGTTTTACGAATTTCATTGTTCTCCAACATAGAAATTTGAGAACCTTCACAAAATTATAAAGAACATAAGAACACCAAATGTTTTTTTCTAAATATATTGTAGTATTATTGTCATCAAAGAGTCCATGAACGAAATTTGTTATCACTTACAAATCCGTAAATAAAACTGGTTTTCCGATGTTTGGAGACAGCTGTGATTCTGTCAATCACCTGCAACTTTTATGATCTTTTCAATTTTTAATCATGCAATTCATCTACCCTGCGGCATTGATGAGTCTTCACAAAGGACCCCCAAGACGCCCAAATAAATCAAGCTACATGGATCCCGACAGACTTTGAGCTGCGTCACGTAATCTATAACCGTGTAGAACAGGCAGGGACGTCCGGTATTTTACTTACCCCACAGGCCCGTCAGAACCGGGAGGGTTGGGGGGGGGGCGAGGCTGGAGCCCCCAAATAATTTTCAAACTGTAGTATGTTTCCTTTCTAACAGTTTACTGAATGAGAAGGAGATCAATGGGCAGCCCCCCCCCCTCCATGAATTTCGTTCCGACGGCACAGCTCCAGCATACAATTCTCTCTTTCATTAATTTTTATGACCGCGAAGGCCCGTCTTTGATCTTTCATTATTCAATTGGAAAATTCAAAATTCAGACAAATCTTGATTTCCGAAATAAACTCCTCCCCTAATTACCTAGTATTAACTATGTTCAAGCTAAATAAAATCCATTCAAAAACTTTCCGTTTCTAATTTTTTTGATGACATAAGCAAGAACAGTATTATTCTCTACAACCAAACCGCATGAAAATAAGAGAAATTAAACAACTGCCAAGGGTAGAATATCAGCTTTCGTGAAAAGATTTACCATAGCACCAACAAAAATGCAAATAGAGAACACTGATGGTCGTTTGACTAACTTCACAGTAGAGTAATGCAACGGGTGGGGAGGGGCAAGTTTAAAATACAATCCTACTAATTCTCTGCTCCGCAAAAACGCTAGAGTCAAATGCCCGCCTGAACCCCTCCGAAATCTTGAGTTGTAAGGGCAACGACTAGGCATTGGGATAGATGAATCACACACCCCGTTTTCCCAGCACTTGGAAGAATATAAAATACATACATGAATGATCCGTTGACTGTTTAGATTCTTTCAACATAGAGACAACTTCACAGTACTTTGAGCCACACACAATCGGGCACCATCTAATCGACTCAAGAGCAAGTGTATCACAGAAAAAGGCTCTCGATCCTTTTTATACATAATATCTAAAACACATTTAGCGATCGGCACAAGTGTATATTTACATACAATTGTTTTCAATTGCAACTAATAATCCAAAAAGGAAGTAAAACAGTCTTTCGACATCTTAATCAACCCTAATACTCTTAGCTTGAAAGAGAGATAAAGGAGAATTTACGAGAAAAGTTTATCAACACAATTTACAAAATAAGACGCCATTATGTTTGCTTAAAGAATTAGGAAGATTTCCTTAGTATTCCTAGATCCCGAAAAACCGACTGACCTTGACTCCAATACATTTGATACACTACAGTGTGTCTACAATGCCTGCCAAAAGTCTTGGAAAACTGACCATAATTTACGTTGTACATGAGCTGCAACATCCCCTCTCCCCTTATACAATGTTGTGCCACGGAAATGTTAATAATCCTACATGTACAAGTGATACATTTTTACAAAGCTATGGCTTTCAGCTAACTAATCAACATTGTATGAGGGGAAGGGGGGCAACACCCTCCTTGTTGACATGAAAATAGCATGCGATGCGACACGTGAATTCACAGAAATCTCAAGGTATTCCAAGGACTTTTGGCAGGCATTGTATATACCGAATACACGAAAAATATGGGGAAATTTTGCGTATTGATTTCCTCGGGCACTCAATGATACAATGTGGCCTTTAGACTAAACAAACGTTTCGTAACCTGTTCTGAAAATTCAAAAAACAAGTCCATGAAGGGATAGGAAAAACTATTACCGAAATGGAAGCGACCTACTACAAGTTCGGCTTATGAGATGTCAGTTTTTGAATGAAAACATCTCGTGTTGTCATGCTAAGCAAGGAAAGTATATTTAATTCCCACGAAGCAAATCGCGTTCTTAGTCCCAAATCCCGCGTCTTTTTGATAAAACAAATGTGCAAAAATGCCACAAATCATAATACAATTAAACAACTTTATGTCACTATTTTATACTCTTTGTTGATAGTCTAGGTGTGTCTCGCGGAGATAGGTAACAACACAGCGCGCGAAACGGTATAGATAGATAGACATTATTTAAAGATTAAACTTGATACAAGATTCCATACAAAAGTAGCCAAACTGAAGACAAAGCATGCCCCAAATGATATTCCAAAGGATCGATACGATCTCACAGAATCTGTACCAACAACAGGCTAACCCTCATCTATAAATCTACAGCTCAAGTTTTAAGCAACACCTTGTTGTTCCCAGCTAGCCAAGGTTCCAGACTTTGATTTGATATTGTTTCTTATTTCATCTTTTTCATGTTCTATGATTGCGTTGATATTTTCTACAAGGAAAGAACACACAGGTGATTGCCTATAATACAGAGTCAAATATACCGACTTCATCTCCAGATTGGAACAGGCACCGCGCAGCTATTGGGCTAGCAGGGGCTATAGCCCACCCACTTTTTTGTAATAATAGGCTAGAAATTTTCTGAAGGTTTACTCTCACGCAACTTTGGATAGTTTACTCCTATGTAGTAGCAGTTTTCATTGACTGGGAACCATTTTTGTTCTTTTTCTAGGTGTTTCATCTTGTTTAATGACATGATGTATTTTCTAGGCTAATTCTATCTATTTTTATAGTTATTGATATCTTCTCTGAAACAGACTGTTATTAAAAATTCAATAGAAATAAGCAAGTATTTTCTAAAAGGGGCGTTTTCCCGCGCTCAATAGGGCGTGTTCTCAACACATTTTCGGTCACACTAATTTCAGCCCCTCCACTTTTAGAGTGGTGCGCGGTCCCTGGATTGGAATATTTCTAGTAAGTTCTTAGGTAGCTTTAAAAACCCTACGGACAGTTCCAAGAAACTCTGATCCGACGGTAATATGTCACAAAAAGTTATGAAACAGAGTTTTTAGGAAACACTCCCTATGGCAAACTGCAAATCAAAAGAAGCGACCGCTGAAGAGTGGCGTGTAAAAAAGTCATGTTTTCTAATATAACAATCCTGCCTATTTCTGCTCTGCTTAATTTTCTCTTTTTATTTTACATAATGATTTTGTTTGGGTGAGGAACAAGCTCTGCATTAGCTTGTGTCAATGTTAACAAACTGTTACGTCGTCATTACTGTATTAAATAATTAGCATAAATTAGAATGTGTTACCCTTTATGCATTATGCAGAGAACTTTGTTAAAGTACACATTGAGCACTGATTCATATCTAGCTTAGAGTTCGATTATTACTCTCCTTAGGGCTGAAAAAAATAAAAGCCTATTCAAAAAAGTTACACGGTAGCAAAGGGAAGCAAACACATAGTATAATACGGAATGCAGCTTATGAAACGTAAAGGTTAATGAAGAAATCTTAGCGAAAATCTAAATGTCTAGATACGAATCGAAAGTAATGCGGTAGGAGGGATTGCGCAGTCAAATTGTAAGTTTGTAACTTGCTGATTGTGTTTGTGAGTTTCTGCAAAACGATTTTTTGTCGGAAACCAATCTTCGATCTTGGATAGGGGTTTGCAGTAGCATGGTACTTGTGCTTTGCATCAAATTCAACAACAGAAAGTACTTGTGCATTTTTATATGACTGTCGCGTTTTACAAAGAAGCCACGCAATTTAAGATTAAAGACATAATCTAGAAGCAACTGCCTCAGAGGTACGGGCCTTGTCATGCTAGTGATGTTGCTTTGCTATCAATATTACTCCGGAACTCAAACTTGGAAGTAAGGCTAAAGTATCAATTGATAAAGCTACACTTGTTTTACACTTCTGTTGTACATCATCCCAGTTTACTGTTCTTATTTCCAGTACCGTTAAGCCAAAAGCCGTGGAAAATCAAAAAGCCCTTAAAGAGTATTGGGAATATAAAGATTGACAAGTGCCTTTGAGAAAACACATTGCCGCATTTAAAAATCAAACCCATTCTAGAATGGGCTTGTGCTTCAAATGAAATGCAGGAAAATAAAAGCAAAGAACCTACTGGTTGCTAGATCATCCAGAGGGTTTAACGAAATTGATATCCAGCCCAGGACAGCACCAATTGCCCGCACTAAATTGATAACACGCCAAGTCGATATCTGACTGGTCGATGTCCTGGAAAGAAAAATTGACGTCACATGTTGAGTTCTTCTAATCTGAGAAGGAAAAAAGCTGGAAATGCAAATTCCACCTAAATAGGGAACATACCTTAGTACAAAGATATTATTTCTTTAAATATAAGCAAACAAAAAACATTCTAAACTGCTCGGATGCCAGGCAAAAAACCTAGGTCAATGAGTGATCTGTCCAACCAAGAGGTAGGTTTATATATATTCTTTTATGCAAAAACAAACATTTGCTGTACAAAAGTGATAGAACAACTTAGGCCAAGGATAAAGAAACAAATATTAAAAGCTAGCTACCATGTTTAAATCAACCTGATAAAACTGACAATTTGACTAGTTATCCTGCAGTAAGTTTTTCTACCATATATGAACACATCTGATATGAGATCGTCAAGTAAATTATTCATTATTGATAACGTTACGTCAAGAGATCTCTGTTCTGGGGATTGAATTTTTATAGCAACGCAGAATAATGGGCTTTGGATACCACGAAATTAACCTACTAATATTTATCAAAGCTTGAATAATCAAATCAAGTCAATATTTGCATTGCCATGTTTCTCCAAAATTTTGCAAATTATTCTGTCTCTACTGTTCAAGAAGAAAGTCATTTGGAGTGATTCAAAAGATGCCAGCTGTTACCTTAAAAGTTTTCACTTTATCGGCATTAAAAATTCAAATGTGACTAAAGTTACATAATCTTGCTTACAATAAATTAAAGGAAAACAAGGATTAAATTCAGCTCACCATAATTGTTTGGCATCCTTATACAAACTGATTTTATCGTCAAGTTGCGCTAAACTTACAGAGAACACCAAAGCAAACAAATATCCTACAATAAAAACAGTAGCAAATAACGCTTTAGATCGACGCAAGGGAAGCTACTTTTGTATAGCAGAAAGCAGAAGCTTTAACCATGTAAATAAATGTGCGTCAATGACAGTTGGCTGATGGTCATGAACGACACCTGTCTGATGATGACAATGACTCGATGATGACAATGACAACTTAGAACCCGCCTGGTTGAAGTCATATAAAATTGAGTCCTTAATAAGTAAAACTGCTACTACCCTGTATACAGGCAAAATGCTTCATGCAGTTGTTGGATGCTAAGGATCTAGATACTCGTTTATAACTTTGAGCAAAATGTGTACTTTTCACTAAAGACCAGGTTGCATTCTATCAAATGGCCATGAACGGCAGTTGGCTGATGATCCCATTAAGCGAGGAATTAAACATTACAGGTAATCTGAATAGCAATGAACAGATGCAATAGGAATAAAAATAATAGATTGAAAATACAGCAAAGCATGTTTGTATAGTAAAAAGAAGGAATCAGTCCACTTTCACTTATCAATCTAACGAGATCTAAAAAAGATGGAACAATTTTTTTCACTGGCAAACGAAAAAATTTAAAAATGTAATCATCTCTTAGACTGATGGTTGATTAAATGTAGAAGCTTCACAAATTTTGCGGTAATAGTGGCTTTCCAAACAGCATTGAATACGGCAGATTCTCTTTCGGGATAAGAGTTAAAAAGAATATTTAATAGGATGATGTCAACATACCTACAATAGCAAGGGCGCGAGACGGTCTTGAAAGCAATGCTAGAAAGAACTGACTCCATCCGATTCCAATATTGACATACCTATAAAAGTGATGTCGTCATAGAATAATCAAATTTTCTCCTGCATGCTTTTTCTGCTATTTGAAGTTTAATCACTGCAAAGGTTCAGCACTTATCTAACATATTTAAAACCTCTCTTCGTCCGAATGCCTCTCGTTTATTTTCATAAGATTTTCTCTGAACAAAAGATGATGCGAATTAAGGAAATTAGTAAATAACGAATGCTATTGAAGTCAACAGCGCCTTGAAAAGGGCATCGCAAACTCTTAAGGGTCGGGAGGTTTTTGACCTTTAAAAAAATTTAATAATGGAAACGATTTGAATTTTCAGAAAATGGTATAAATTATGTAAAAGGCATCCATCAAAAATGTCTAGGGATTTGATTAAGGATGCATGAAAATTGTCAAAAAAATCATGAGCAAGAAGGTATGATGAGCATTTGTCTGGTAAAGACAGTAAAGCCAAAAACTTGCAGCTGAAGATTCAGACTTAGGAATGTAAAGATTATAATGTAATGCTTTGTGTTTGTAAAAAGAAATATGGAGAACGCTTCATGCTGCAGTTTAATTGAGAAAAAGATTAATAAATTAGGACGGGGTAGGCACAGGTAATTCGAATCCTACTTAAGTGAAGATATTTTATTAGCAAAAATGGCCTGTTTATATGAATAAAATTATCTGAAATCATCGCATGCTTACACGCAAACTCTACCCTTCCTCATAGAATATGGCTTCTTTTCATAATAATTTCAACTCTCCCGGATACTGCAACAAGTCATTTATCATTATGGAATACAAACGATGCGCATAAATACAAATTTTCCAGCAAGTTTTGTGTTTGCATGGAAGAACTGTATCCAATTCAGATGATATCCAGCAAGCTGTGAGTAAGATTTCATTTGCCGCGGGCAGGGCGTTTCTCACATAGAATCGATATGTAGATTAGAAGGCTTTGTATACTAAGGCTGGATCTCGCCTCCCAGCCCATAGGTTGAAAGCTGTGATAATTTTGCTCATATAGACAGGCTCTAAGTCATGATAAAACAAATTATCGAAATATGAATGAGGACCAAAACCGAACATGAAAGGAATTAATAGTATTACCTACAACTAAATGAGGAAGTGAGTGGAGTGAAAAAACACCTCACGAATAAAATAGTCACGAAAGATAAAAAAGCTCACCTATCAAAAACAGAGACAGTGCAGATAGCCAGTAAAAAATAGTAGAGTGCTTGGAATGGTTGCGCCAAGCCATGGTAATTCTCCAAGAAATTCACATACCCATTGTCAGTTAACGAGTAAACAAAGACGCACTGTATCAACCCAATACCTGGAAGAATAGCTAAGGGTTAACGACGTCAGCACTGTAATGGAATCAGCTTCGTGATGTACAGGCATCTGCATTCCCCCCTCCCCGTTTTTATGCTGCTACATCAAAGTATCGGGTGGGTAGAGTCACTAAACTATCGTGGAACTAGTAGGCCTTCCACAGTTTCGTTACTTTACGGCTTGAAATATTGCGACTACCTGACAAACTTACAGAATAACAAAGAAATTCTAGCAATCTACGTCTTCTGCTTTATCAAAATACCAGGGTTGGAATTATGCTATTTATTGCATTGAAGGAAATTGGCTCCCCGCATCTTCTATTGAATAAACTGTATATCAAAAATCACCATTGCTGCTGGAGATGGATTTTCCTAATTCACTTTTGATAGTGAAATTTTATGATGCCAGCAAAAAACCCCAACATGGCAAGATAGTTAAACCAAATACGATAAATGACAAGATTTGAGAGTTTTCATTCAGGAATTTCATTTGAATAGAAATATGACAGGTCCTATATTTTACAGCAAACATCACAAGACAGTTATTTCATTTGAAGCCATTTAATCTCCCAGAATTTGCATCTGTATTAAGAAGGATATCAAATTGGAAGGAATTTGACCAGACTTTTCAGACCTGACAAATATGTTTGCCCAGGCCATTTGGTCTCTTTTCATTTGCAGCCACATGAAAGCACAACCAAATTAAAGGCACAGTTGTTTGGCCTTTTGTTTTGTTTCTGGCAAGCGTGAATTGCTATCCAGAAATTCCATGATAAACTAACAACAAGTTGCTTTTAAAACACTATGGTGAAATCGTACAACGTTACACATTAACATGATAAAATAATAGGATAGTGAGCAGAGGGCATTAAAGAGATCTGTAGAGAAATTGAGAAACCATCTTTAGTTGAGTTAATGACAGAATCATCCACCAATGCTGGAGAGAAGACTGATGCTAAAAAGAGTAGCACACATAATCACTGGTGGGCACCGTTCGAAATCTTGTAAAATCTTGAAAAATGGTTTGCGAAATAAGAGAACCTTTCTATACCAGCTTTTGATTAATAAGGCTCACTTTGGTTCTGCTTGGTTGATGAACAAATCCAAATCAGTATGTCAGTCACTAGGCTATGAGTTTGACTTAATTGATATTGTGGTGATAATGCACTTGACAACTGAATATTGCGATGTAATGATTGAAATTTGAAACTTTATCATTTAAGAATTACCTGCTAGAAGTCCATGACAAATAAGAGCGATGATACGAAATGCAGAATGGATTTGCTGTAAAAAACAAGATATATAATTGCAGAATAGTGGTTTAAAACCAAAGGTATAGTGGTTTAAAAATAATGGATAGGTGAAAAACATTGAAAAAATCAAGGGATTCACGGGGGCTATAGGAGTTTTGTATATGCTTACCGTTTCACTTAGTTATACAAAAAAGGAAATAGTGACAACAACTTTCTGGAAAACATTGTTAAACAACAAAAAGTAGCCGTCTTCATCATCTAAACAATGTATACACCCTCCCTCACGCCCCCCCCTCACGCCTCCCTTACGCCTCCCTCTATCCGAAGACAAATTTTAAAGGACAAGAATTTCACTATACTTGACTAACCAAAGCAAACTCCATTGAGGATATTTCGCGCTCATCCAGCTGTAACACGTCATGATCTACTACGTTCTGCTCCATGTTGGCACGATCAATTTTATCCTTGTGTTCTTTAATGAATCCTTGACCATCTGAATAAAAATTCGTTATAATGAAATTGCTTTTTTATTCATTTACTGAATTCTGTTTAAATTTCTTGCCTATTGGAATCAATTCAAAATATACTTTCAAGCCATTTCTCAAGAGAAAAAAGTATCCAAGCCCCCGTTCTTAAATTTGAAAAGACATTCAATTACAAGTTCAATATTCCAAATGAATATCATTTCTTAAAAATAAAAATTCCCAGATAGGCTGTTGCCTGTTACGTTCCAGTCACCAAGGCTGACGTTGAAAATTATTCCCAAATAACGTGCTATACATTTTCCTTTGATACTTAAATTTTTCCTGAGCTTCAATTCTCTTAAAAATCGATGATTCTGAGCCTAAAATCATTGCTAAGCAACTTTTAAGAAGAAAAATCAAAATCTTTGCACCTGATTTTCTTTCTCACAAAAAACATTGCAGGAAATGAAACAAACTAACACAATAAAAGATAGATGAGTGTTTTCTCAAACCAAATGCGTGAAAATCGCACTTATCTAGTTTGTTCAAAAAACTCGCAAAGATAAAAAGTAAAAATATTCATGAAATTCGAGCCTGGCTATTATGCTCAATATATTCGTACACTTTGCCTATTTCGAGCATCGATATTCTTATCAAATTCATTCTTCTGAAAAAACTGCGCGTAAGACACACCTCGTTTCTCAATAAACAAAAAATCCAGTGGCTGACTTGGCAAATTGGTTGCATTTATTGGTGCGATTTTGCCTGTGCTCTGGCTGACATCACTTTGTATGATGTCCTCTTTGTCGATCTTAAAAACCTCAGAAACTGAAAACAAGTAAAAGGATTATATTTACGAGACAATATATTCGTGGTTATTTTCTCAGAACTTCTAAAGACTGACATAAGACGAAAATTGACGAGGTTTACGTAACAATTCGCTGCTGCCCTGGCATTTCCCAAAGTACTGAGATCAACAAAAAGGCAGTCTTTGACTTGCTTATTGTTTAGATTCAAATCGTTATCCTTTTTTTATTGGTGAATGGAAAAGCCTTTGATTTCAAACCGTTTTTCAAGAGTTTAAAGCATATCTCTTTCTAACTGCTTAGTATTAAATGTCACTAGACACGGTCAGTGGGCTTATTCCCATATTAAACTGAGCTTCCATACCAACTGGGTATATCCAGCTATTTAGGATCGCAAAACATACTGTTATATTGCCTTTGTTTAGTATGGGCTACCATTTGAATTCCAGAGGTAATCTTGCATTCAGACTTACTTTCAAATAATCCATTGCGCAAAAGAAGATAATACTGACCTTCTCCATCCATGTCTCCCTGGTAGTTTTCTTCATCTCCTGACGTCATCATAGCGTTTCTATAAAAATATATTGAGCAGCGAAATGAAAAACAACATATCAAGTCTTCATTTGCCCACATAACATCTCCTTTTCCTACTTAGGAAACATAAATACCTTGATTTATTGCTCAACAATTGCCGTGCTCAACAAAATTCTGCTCTAACGAACAGCTTGCATCCTTTCTTTTCTAGGTTTCAACGTCAAACTATCGGTTGAAATGTCTGTCTGCATAAAAAAGTAGAGGATATAAAGCATACCTTGTCTTTCGTTTCTTCTTTGGCTGCGTATTCCGAATCCTTGGTCTAGGAGGCTGGCGATCAACGACCTGGTTCTCCGGAATGCCCATAGGCTCTTCGCTGGCATCATCTGGGTTATCTGGGTCTGAGGATGAAATCGAATAACTTAAGGAAAAGTATCGAAAGAAGACAAGTAATTAGATAGTAAGATACTCCATTGAGATTACCTAAAAACAGGATCATTCAATCTGCTTCCATTTCCAAGCTTAAGGGTTGGTACAAGTTTTTAGTTTGAGAGTTTGAGAGCTAGAAAAATATTGGACAAGATAATCCTTTGTTCTCAAAGGAAAGGGTTTGGTAGCAAACAAAAAATCGCTGTAATGAAATCCAGTCATGTATGACAGGCACTGAACAAACATTCATATCCTTTGGAATTATTAACATGAAATTGGTTGCAATATATCAAAGCCAGCAACATAACGAGTGAAACTTAGCATTTATTGGAAAAAAGGATAAGCTATGTATTAATTCACGGTAGATGTATTCTATCTTCTCATGGCTTATTACAATTCACACTTTAACCGAATAGGATAATTTATTGGAATATCATATATCTAGTAATTCACACTTACTTAGATTTGGGTTACGTTAAGCAACGAAAATCCTATTTACAACCACAAGTAGTACCACATGGATTAGGGGTATCCGATGGGGAAAGGGGCAAAGGGGCAAAAGAGTAAAGGGGCAAAGAGGAAAAGGGGACAGGCTTCAGTTTAAAGGCATTTGAAAATCGTTCCCAGCTTCTACGAATACATTTGTAATTGTTATTCTATTTCGATCTTCTGTGCACATCTTGAACATGGGTTAACTTTTTGCACAAGAATTTTTTAGAAATTTCATCATTAATAAGGTATATACTACAGTCAGAATTTCATATGAATCTCTTTGCTAATTAAAAATGGCCAAGGTCAGGGGAACTTTTACGGAAAGAGCACTCTGATCCTTTTGCCCCTCCAAGGGCAATCGGGGCGGTGGACCATGCGCCATCCCTCTCTGGCTTCCCTGAAATGGATTTATCATGAATATAGGGTTGTTATGGAGCCTCATAATTGTGACTTTGGTTGGAAACATTTTTTTTATCCAATTCTTCTCGATGCGCACATGGACAGATATCTTGTAAATTCCTATTTTTAGATTTGCTAACTTACAAGATGATGGACTAAAAGTGCATGAGCTTGTGGTTATTTGTATATTTTCTCGTCTAACACAATCTAAAAATAAAGGCAAGGACTTGATAAAATACTAAATCCCCGATAAAAATGCTCTTCCCCCTTTTAGTAGCAGGCAAATACGTACGTGCTTGCTTCTTGGGGGTTTTTTGAGACCCCATAAACCAAGCAAATGAAATGAATAAGAACCTTAGGAAACGGTACACTTTTTAAACCAATCATGTAGTCGTTAGGGTTAGAAGGAAGAGAAATTACAGTGGAATAAAAAACATGGCAAAAATTCTAAATTTTAGCTAATGATACTCGATCTTTCCTTACCGTCTAGTAAGTGCTACTAGGTCTTCTTGTAAGTGAATGTCCCCTTACCTCAAAACAAATCATCGTCCCAAAACATGAAACTCTATATTACTTAATACAGATATCAAATAAATAGTCACCTCTCCTCCTTGATCTGCGACTTCTCTTTCCTTGGGCTACTTTTTGGGTGACTTCAGATTCAATATGTGGTTGAAACTTTCCCTCTAATGCCAACACCTCCTCACTAACAGAGCGAGGAATCCGTTGGGCGTTCTGCGGTTTTCTTTGACGTCTTCTTTCACTTCTTCCCAAAGTTACATTTTCTTTGCTCTCCTCGGATAATTCTACGACACAAAATGTTCATGATAAATGGTATTACCAATATCTGACCAATCATAACATAAAATACAAAGAAGAAAGTTTTCAAACTTCTAAGAAGCACATAGCAGACTGATCAAATCATCAAATAAAACTATTTTGCTTTTTTACTCTACATTTTTCCACTCTCTCATCTTTTTACTCCTTCACCATTTAACCCTATAATTATTTCGCCCTTTCTATCTTAAACTCTTTCACTGATTCACTTGTTCAGTCATTCACTCTTTCATCTTCTCACCCTTCACTCTTTCCGCTCTTTTTTAATTCATTTGTCATTTCTTTGCTCATTCCCTCTTTTGTTCATCACTCTTTCACTCTACACTTTACACTCTTTTACTATCTCAGACACAGAGAAACAAACTCTTAATATCATGCGGTACAAAACTAAAAGATACATAAAAAATATATGCCAAACATGTGTTTGCATATATCTTTCAAAAAAATTTGTAGTACCGGTGAATTTGTCGGGAATTTTGCTTATAATTTGTCTAGAATCCTTAAAAAGTTTATAATATTTTTTCACTTTAGTAAAAAATGGCAAAACCACTCTCATCTCTCAAATACTTCTAAATCCTTCGGAAAATTAGAGCTCTAGGTATTAAAGGGATTACCCGGCTCTGGTGTTTGCCTTCGTCCAACCCTTTTTTTCCGCATACTTGAGTCTTTATCACTTCCAAGAGCCCCATTTTCTTTTCTCCTTTCCTGATTGATTCCGTCTTTGCTAGAGCCAGGAACGAGGGCACCTGAGCTGGAGGCAGCATTCTTATTGTCGTCAGAAGCAGAATGGTGACGCCTTCTTCTCCTTTCTTTTGAGGGATAAGGATTCATCGGCTCTAAATTCAAAATCGAAACTTGATGACAGGCACCGATAAAAATAAGTCTTAAGAAGGGTAATAAAAAACTGCGAATAAACACGGAAGTATAATCTAAAAATAATATACAAGCCTAAAATCATTTGTGGTCTCGAAATCTGGAAAGTCCATTGAAAAAGTAGGAAGTCTAAGGATCAGAAATGGTGACCATGAAAAGTAACTTGGAAAAAGTTACTAAAAAGCTAGAAAAAGTTACTAAATCTGAAATTTTGTGAGAAACGCAGGGAAAATACAATAAAAAATTGAGAAAACGCCTGAACAAAACAAATACACCCTTGTATTCGCCAAAAAATAGATATTGTGAATAATATATAATTTGAAAAAAGAAAGAAACGAGTCAAGCTGGTTAGAGAAAATTCATTTCTACAATCAGATATGATGACCAAGTATGTCGTTAAGGGGTTATGACTTCAACATTCAAATCAAAGATTGCTGTAAATTTTCGATATATGAGAAGGCAATAGAAAAATCATTTGAAACTTAATAGAGGGCTGGTTGGCCCCCATAAGTTGGTAATTGAACTGATAGACTGAAGTTTAATAAATGAATTTGACAGAGTTCCTGAAAGTGTCCTTAATTTCAGAGCACTCTCAAACTTGCAAAGCTAATAAGATGATATAATATTATTACCATAAAGAGCAAATATAAAACGGAACGAATTGAAGTTAGAGGGGTTTTATGATATCAAATAGTTTGATTACAACATACTAGTGTCACATATGAACAGAATTTCAAAAAGTTCGATTTACATAACAATAAATAAGAAATACTTGGCAAATCGAGTCCATACCTTCTTCCCCAGACATTCTTTAAATTGATCAATCTGTAGCAAAATAGAAAAGAATTTCCATTATAAACTGGTTCAAGGTGATATCCACTTACTTTCTTCTTTACATTTCCCAGTTTAAAATTGGCAAAACTATACTTACTCTCTGTATAACACTTGATGTTTATGCTCAAACAACAGATATGAATTGTGTCTTTAAAATATCAAAGATCAAACCAAATAAGAACTATCATAGCTCTTTACTTTATCTTGGTACTATAAATGTCATATCTTTTGAGTTAAACTGTTCCTGAAGAAAATCTCATCAGCATTTGGTTGGGCACACATCATTTGAAGCTAATATATCACACATTATGATTTCACAAATGCATCTCTTCATAATGGGTTATTTTTGTAATATAATTTCACATGTAATGCAGGCCTTGCCTGGAAAAGCGCTCCAACATGAGTAGCTAAAGCGCACCTTAGCACAACCATGGAGAGTGATTTAGTGAGTGCCTGAAAATGTAAAACGATATTGCCACAAAGAAAAATGTTTTTGAAATAATGCTGATCCCCATTTTTATGTGAAAAGAGTATGTGCATTTTAGCCAATTACTTTGTATTGACACTCATCAAAAACTGCTCAATTATTGTCCTAGAATAGTAGGGGGGGGGGGGCTCTCCTCGATTAGTTTACCTATTGAGAGATCTCCTCCTTTAAGAATTCCCTTCATACAATTTATTTTGTCCTTTATTTGTACTATTATGTGATTTAGTTTAATAATTTCTTTGTATTAATGATATATAAATTGTATGTTGAGAATCTAAAAATATGAAACTGAAACTGATCAATGTAATATTATCAACAATATTATTATTTGTAAGCTTTGTACAAGGGTTTATATCACCAATCTGTTTATTTTATACTCTATTTTATATCTGGTTCTTTTTAAGGCTATATCTACAAAGATATATTTTCAAATCAAACGTTATTTTCCATGCATTGAAAATACTAAGGCATAAAGACAATTTGAGAGTTGAATCATTATAAAATGATAATTATGATATGGGTAATTCCATATCAACTTGACACAAAAAAATTGGATTGGACACCAATGTCTCAGATTTTTCTATAGTTTTCTTCAAACTGTTCACCATGTCTTAGAACCACTACAGAAAAAATTTCAGCCTGCTATAACATCTTGTTTCTGAGATATTGCTTTTTGAATTACGATTGTTTACGCCCTTAAGAATGGTGGCAACGCCCATTTTTGATGCGGTCCATTTTCAAAAATTTGTCTCTAATTTCTTAACCAAATGACATTTTTGGGTGAAAATTTTCAGTTTGGGGTAGTTTCATGCGCAGATTTCAAGTATTACATTAAAAACACAATCCTAGCTATCATTCATATTTCATTGATTAAAATAAACTTAAATACATCATATGCGGAAATTGAAAAAATGCATGTCTTTGTTTTCATATAATGTTGGGTGCGGTCAATTAACCATTTTGAAAATTTGCAGAACTGTTGTCCATAGGTATAGATATATACTGAAGAAGTTATGAGATGGTAAGTTGTCCTGTTTAAGAAAAAGAAGCTTTTAAAGTTATGATATATTTCTAGGTATACAGAACAACTTGTAGTCACAACTTGAATACCTTTCTTCATCTACATTGTATTTCTATAGCAATATAAACGGATTTAAATCAACATAGATAACTACACTGAAATTATATGTCATCAATTTCTCTTTTTGAGAGAGAGAAAAGCCTATACCTGTAGGAAACATTTGATTGATTTTATATTATATAAATATATATTATCAAATGCTATAAATGCATGTAGTAAATCTGAATATTGTATATCTTTGCTAGATTTATGTCCTCAAAGAGATCCTTTATTGAAAAATTTCCCCTAATTTCCTTCAGAAGACCTTTTATTTTTTGTTAAATTTCCTATACCTTCTCATAACTGCCCACTAGTAGTTTCCCTGTAACTGTTAAAATCATTTGCTTCCTATAACTGTTAAAATCATTTGCTTCTTGTTTTTGGTTTCTTTTCTTAGATAATAAAAATTTACACATTCATGCAAATATCAAAATACAGTTGTTATGAGGCCATTCTCTAACTAACCACAAAACAAAATGTATTTTGATGATTATTGAAGGGTAAATATTGGTCAACAGCTTGGCAGACATTGCTGGGGTACCATAAAAGCCTCAAGGTCCTCAAGGGTCCCGTAACGAAGGATCTAGAGTCTGGTTTTTACGGTATGCAGACAGGCATGATTTGTAGTGTATGATGTTATGTGATGACTTATATTGTGGAGGTGCTTCCAAATCAACCCATGTGATGTGATGTAAGGCATGATGAGGTAATATTTATTTTGAGACATGTGTACTCATGGGCAGATTTATCAGTTAGGGGTCAGTTTTGGTTTAGGTTGCAGGTGAAAACACAATTTAAGAAAATAAGTATGTTGGTTAAAATTTTGGAGAGCTGTTCTCTTGGTAATCTGTTGGGGAGGTATGTCACAAACTAAGTTTTTCAAAGACGTCTGGTTTAAAATTGCTTGCAGAATGAAGCAGTGACGAGAAATATCTTGTAATATGGAGAACAGGCTTAGAAGACAGTATAGGCAGCACAATATGTTATCATCACGAGCACACAGTTCTTAAGAGGTATGCAAGTACAAAAACAAAATGTTGCAATCCGTTCAAAAACAAAATGTTGCAAAGAAAAACACACTGCCAGAGGCTCCTTGAGAGAGATTAGCTTAGAAACTGCAAAAGAAATGAAAATTTTAGGAATCAATGTTACTCCCGGAGACAAATCATGTCGTGCATGCAGGATCGAAACTGACAAGCACAAAGAGTAGCTCCCTACAGGCTCATATTCTTCCAGTAAAGTAGGCCACAATGATATCAATGAGCAAATGGAATTGGAAATAAGTGTTGAAGACAGTAGAGAATTTCTGAGCTCTACTCTTAATGAAGCAGAGGTAAGTCCATTGAAGTTACATGCTATTGGTCTATAATTTCCAAGGAAATCGAACGAAATACCAATGATTCAGATATCATGGTAGATCTGATGAAGGAGAAAATTGAAGTATCATCTCGGAAAGTCAAGATACAGATTTTAACGATGACACCTTTCTCATGGACTGTAAGAAAAACTGCTAACTTCTTTGGAGTCTCAAACTACATGGTCCTCCAAGCATTCAAACTGCGTAAAGAGCATGGTATCTTTGCAAGCCCAGAGCATAAGAAAGGACATGCATTATCAGATTATGTTGTGCTCCTTGTTACAGATTTCTATTGTGATGATGATAATAGCAGGCTACTTCCAGGGAAAAAGGATTATGTTAGCATTGGAAGGAATCAACATATGCAGAAGAGGTTAATCCTTTCGAATCTAAAGGAGCTCTATTCATCATTCAAAAAGCATTCAATGATATCAAAATTGGCTTTTCTAAATTTTGCATGCTAAGGCCAAAATGGTGTGTAACTGTTGGGGTTTCTGGTACATATTCTGTTTGTGTCTGCACTTCCCATTAGAATATTACGTTGGCGCTCAATGCAATAAAGCTAGACAAGGATTACCATCACCTGTTAGAATTGATTGTTTGTAGCAGATATAAGAAAGAATGTATGATCCATCTTTGCCCTAACTGCCCTGAAATTGAACCCCTGAAGAACTACCTTAGAGAACAACTAAATGCGAGACCCAGTGACCAAGATGAAACGAGTGCAGATGCAAATGAAGTAGATAATATCTTCGCCGAGGAAGAGGATTACAGTATAACATTCAATCAATGGACTAGCACAGACAGGGCAAAGCTGATTAAACAAACAGCACCACTTTCAGACTTCATAGAGCTTGTGGCTAAGAAGTTAGACAAGATCACTGTTCATTGGTTCATAGCTCGCACCCAAGGGAAACAGTGTAAGGAAGACTTGAAAGAAAGCGAAGTCATTGTCCTTGTTGATTTTGCTGAAAATTATAAGTTTCTTGTACAGGATGAAATACAGGGATATCACTGGAACAAATCACAATGTACCTTACATCCAGCTGTTGTGTACACAAAGAAGAATGGTCAGTTGGAGGATCACTCCATATGCTTCATATCAGATAATCTATATCATAACGTAGATATGGTGTACCAAATTTTGAAAGAAACTTCAAAGCACATAATTGAAAGCATCAATCCTCAAGTGAAATCTGTCAACTACTTCTCTACAAGTCATGACAAGTCATCGCAAGTCAACATGTGATGGTGTTGGGGGCACAGTTAAAAGAATAACATCATGAGCAAGTTTGCAACTACCATTTGATAACCAAATTCTAAGTGCAGTTGAAATGTTTAAGTTCTGCAAAGAGGAAATCAAAGGAATCAACTTCAAATTCATACCAAAGGAAACAATGGAAGTAACAAGGGCAAACCTCAAGACAAGATTTTTGAATGCAAAGACAGTACCTGGTACTAGGAGCTACCATCATTTCGGTCCCTTGTCCAGTTCGTGCATTGGTGCAAAAAGAATGTCAATTGATGAAAAATATGCCTTAAAATTTGAATTTGCATTGGAGGTAGAGCAAATTTGCACTAGCTTCTCACTAAATTCTTTTACAATCTGTCTGTATGACAAGGAATACTGGATCGGGCTGGTAGAGGAAATTGATTCAGCTCAAAAAGACATCAAAGTAAAGTTTATGCATCCGAAATGCCCAGCAAGTTCGTATTCCTGGCCAATGAGGGATGATGTATGTTGGGTACCAAAGGAAGACATACTTTCCACAATTAATGCCCCAACAACAGCAACTGGAAGGCAGTACAAACAAGTTGCAGCTGATGAGGAAATCTTTACTAAAATATTTATGAAATACCATTGATAGGGACATAATTTCGTAGAGCAAAATTAAAATGGATTCTATTACCTGTCTTATTTTCTTGATAAGCTTGATTATCAAGAAAACATTTTGAAGCAAAATAACATCTAGATCCACTTATATTGCTATAACAATACAATGTAGAGAAGAAGGGTATTCAAGTTGTGATTACAAGTTGTTCTGTATACCTAGAAATATATCATAACTTTAGAAGCTTCTTTTTCTTAAACAGGACAACTTACCATCTCATAACTTCTTCAGTATATATCTATACCTATGGACAACAGTTCTGTAAATTTTCAAAATGGTTAATTGACCGCACCCAACATTATATGAAAACAAAGACATGCATTTTTTCAATTTCCGCATATGATGTATTTAAGTTTATTTTAATCAATGAAATATGAATGATAGCTAGGATTGTGTTTTTAATGTAATACTTGAAATCTGCGCATGAAACTACCCCAAACTGAAAATTTTCACCCAAAAATGTCATTTGGTTAAGAAATTAGAGACAAATTTTTGAAAATGGACCGCATCAAAAATGGGCGTTGCCACCATTCTTAAGGGCGTAAACAATCGTAATTCAAAAAGCAATATCTCAGAAACAAGATGTTATAGCAGGCTGAAATTTTTTCTGTAGTGGTTCTAAGACATGGTGAACAGTTTGAAGAAAACTATAGAAAAATCTGAGACATTGGTGTCAGGGCTGTTTGAAATGATATGGAATTACCCATATGTGAAAGTGCTTCATTTTCATTTGGATGCAAAACATTTGATTCATTCCCACTAAGAAGATAAACTGAACTTACCACCCTTTACTTTATTCAAAGGCTTGAAATAGAGTATCTTGAGATATTTGGGGGCTTGTTTTAAGGAGCACCTTCATTTTCCTCTGGTCCTTCATTTTTCATTTTGCAATTGAAAATAATTAAAAATTAGCCTAAGACACTACCCTGTTAAAATAATTCAATATTGTTTTTTAAATACTGTAATGTTCTAGCTAATCAAGAAGGATAAGATGATGTACAGTGTCAAATGCTTTGGAAAATTAAATAATACAACACGAGACAATACAATTTTCAAGGCTATCTTTCAGGGTTGTGTAGAGATCAAGTATACTTGTTTGAAATGCCAAATTAATAGATTTAAAAACGATTTCATACCTGTCCAGGAATTCAATTAGGCATTTATGAATAAATTTTTTCAAAAATTTTACTGTAAATTGGAAAAATCAAAATGGGTTGATAATTATAAAGCATCTTTGATTTACCTTTATCAAACTGCTGATTGGTGATGAGTGTTTTGCTGTCAATTTTGATAAGTTCAATCAGAAAATGTTTTGAGACATAAGATGTCCTATCATCAAGATATCATGAAGATGTGTGGTTTCATAGGAAAAGCAGGCTTTAGAAATAAATAATTTGGGTTCTTTTTGTTTGTGATAATCAAACTGATATATAGTGGAAGATCTGTTATTATCTGCAAGAGGTGCTCTGGAGAGGGCCCCTTGGTGAAATTCAGAGAGATTTCAGAGTGATGAATTCTGTGTGGCAGCCGAGCTGGCATCAGTGCTCACTGGAACCCTTTCACAGATTTTCCATGAATTCATTGAGCAATTTCCTATCAATCTTTATAGTTTGAATTATTCATAAACACAAAAGAGAATATCTAACACAAATATAAGTAAATTGGGTGTGGTTATGGGTTTGGCTCCTAGAAGTTGCCTATACATAGCATGCACAGTTCCTGATCTAACCTTTCAGGGTGGCGCCACTATCCTTTGCTAGTTGAAATTAAAATATACTTTTAGAGAATTGAAAGACAAATTACATCAATACTTATCCAGTTATCGTTTACTCTGTTATTCTGCTAAATTTAGCTATTAATAATTTGACTTTGTGTTACACCATTCTTATTAAATCAGTACTTCAGTAGTTAGGTACCGAGTTGCTGAAATAAATAACATATTAAGGAAGACCGTTAATAATGAATTTGAAACATAGTCGCATATTCATAAACTTGTAAGAAAACTAACATTCATCATAAACGCAATTTTAATTTGGCTGAGTCGATAAAATTGTAGAAACACACCTTCAGCTTGATACCATATTGTTTTTCGACTTGTAACATCCGTATCCGTTTGAAATGAAACCCTCGAATTGAATTCACTTCGAATGGAAGCGAGATTAGGTTGTAAACATCAGCGAGAATGGTAGGAAGCAATCAGATGTGATAAAAAGGTCTAGAGCAAAGGGAAATGTGTTTGGAAATGACGGTTCCTTGTGATGGCTCAAAGGGCTCATGATAATCTAACGGGAAAGATATCATTTTCCAACCTCGCTGAAGTCGATGTCAAGTCGTTTATTGGCCATGAAGACGAGGTAACATCTTATATATATAGTACAGACTAGCAATGGCAACCGCTTTTTCTATCTTGATTAGAGTATTTGTTATTTCGAGCATCACCCAAAAAAGTAGACTCATATTTTCAATATTTCCTTATTTCTTTATTGAATTGATAACCTAATTAAATCCATATATTTATGATAAAATAATCCTATATATCTTGTTTTAATTTATTATCAAAAATTTTGTGTAAAATATTGTTGATTTAAAATCTATAAAAGCCTCAATAACTCTCCTAAGTACGGTTCTGTGTAAACTATCTACAAAATTTTTAAAATTTATGGTTCATCAAATAATTGAACATCAAAAATTATAAATGGTTTGGAAAAAAGCAAATGAAACATACATAAGCTATCCATCTGATGCTCTTTAGAGTATAAAACTTCAGAACACAGATCAAAACTCTAAGCTAGGGAATGTAAGTTTTAGTATGTTTAAAATGTTTGCTTTTTCAAAGCCATTTTTCAAAAATAATGGGTGGGTGTAAAGGTGGATCGGCTAACAACTGCCAATCTTAGGGTTAGCATATGACTAAAAACCAACAGTTGTTGGTCAAGGGGATTAATAGTTGCTATTTTGCATTGTATCATACAACGTTTAGCCTTAGCATTAGGATGTAGAGCCTTTTTCGCATCTTCATAATTTACTGATCAAGGACTGGATATGGTTTATATGGATTCCACCTTTGCCTAGCATCAAAAGGTAGTTTTTGGGACTCTGAGAAGCTAGTTGCTTATCAAGTTCTGCTCTGGTTCTTCCTTCAATGTCTGAATGTGACCATACATTGTGGTTTATTAAATAGCTGAAAATATAGAGAAAGTATTAGCTCAGGAGCATAGAGTTTGCTAGAATTTTGTCTCAAAGTTTTCTTAGCAGTAGCTTGCAATACGATACAAACCCTAGGGCCGTCACAACCAGGGGGGGGGGCTTGTTGGGTGCAGCATCCCTCTAGAAAATTCGGCAAATATTTGAAAAGTAGAGTTTGTCAGATTTTGCTTTTAAAGTTTCCAAAGCAATTGCTGTAGCAAAAAGTGTGGATGAGATGAGGAGAAGACCGAAAAAGTATCACCCAAAAGCAATTCAAAACAGGTACAGATAGAGCTATGGGTGTCACAGACGACTCTCTATCGGCAGTCGGAGCCTAGAACCTAGAAGACAACTGTCAGCATATTCAGGGCCACCAAATTGCCACCTAAAGTTTCAGGAAGGGTCAAAGTTAATTGAAAAGCTCTGAACGCTAGGCTGCTAAAAGGAGGGGCAAGGGGGCAAAGTGCCCCATGGCCACGAGGTCTTAGGGGCCTTAAAAGAAATGAATTCTATTTTGAGATTGGCAATGAAACTTAGCAAAATATGCCTAAAAATAGTAAAACTTTCCAAAGGATTGTAAGAAATGACCACAATAAATTTTTCTGAAATGCATTTGAAGATGATCTAAAGGGCATGGTCACAAACATTTCTGCTCACTCCGCTCAAAGGAGGCCTAGCCTTTTTAATTTTGCATCAAGGTCTCTCAAACCATTCATTGGCCTGCCTGTGATTTTTGTTCATACAATCTAAGATTCTATTTAAACGTGCTGAATTATCTGAATAAATGAGGGTCTCTCTTTGCTTAAAACTTGATTTATTTTGCTCTATTTTGTTGGCAAATTGGTGACTGGTACCCTCCTAAGTGAAAGTGTTTAGCGACAGCCCTGCATTCCCAAATTTTTTTTAGCTGTTTGTTGTAATTTTCAGATCAACTGTTGTGCATTTTCATCTGACTTGAAGTTTATGGTGACCGGATCTGATGATTCTGTAGTGAAACTTTGGGATGTTGCAGAGAATAAAGTTCAACACACTTTGAAGGGCCATTCAGGTAGGGGCTTTTTACAAATCTGTATGGCAATGGGTAATGAAATCAATTCTCCCATTGTTTGTTGGAGAGAAGAAAATGTCACATTAAATATAAAATATGTAAAAAAAGAAACAAATGTCAAAGCTTCTAAGTCAGAATTTGTTCTCTTGCAATTGTGACAATTCTACACATTTCCACTTTTTTGCACTTTGCTTCTTTGATTCTCTTTTTGTTAAATTATTTTAGGCCCAATTAAAGGCTGCTGTTTTTCACCCGATAATTTAAAAGTTGCTTCATGTGCCTTTGACCACAAGATTGTCATTTGGGATGCACAAACTGGAACAGCAATAACTACTTTAGAGGGTAGCTACAATTTGTTAAAGTTTGCTCCTGATAATGCATCATAAAGTCAATGAACATATTTTTCTATGGTTGCCTAGAAAAATGTTTTCTGAGTAAATGAATGATTTATATCAAATTTCTTGTCTGATATTTAAATGGCATCAAGCATGTTTAATTGATCACTTCTGCAGATTGTACTGCTTTGGCAAACCCATGAAATTTTTTTTTAGTTCATTGCCATCGTTGGTTATGATGCCTTTCTGTGCTAAAGTTTTAAAAATGAATACTAGTGTCCTTTGTACCACGTTTACTTCATTAACATATTTTGTAATCCTGTATTGGTCAGTATAATGTATTTTCTATGTTTACCTCTTTTGCAAATGGAGAAAAAATCTGTATTTTGAAAAATGTACTGATACACATGGACATAGGTGCATAAACCCTTGAAAATCAAAAAGATCTACTGTGCATAACGTGTTCAGAAAACCTGATAGCTTTCTAAAAAAAAAATTATTTTGAAAATGCTTCTCTGCTACTTTTTTCAGTTACCTTGAAAGACCCTTACCCTGTTACTTTTAGAAAGAAAAAATACTAAATGGAAATGCAGGCCTGTCATTGAAAGACACAGCTAGGAATATAGAAGGTTGTATCAAGGCATTCAAGCATTATCATCTGTTATAGTTTTTAACCCTGCTAAATCAAAGTTTGATCTAAAGCAGCCATGTAAATGTTTATAGTGTCTTTTTCCAACAAATTGTAGCGATATTCAAGCCATGTCCGGATTTTTTGCCTGAATTAAAAGACATTTAACAATGCAGAGAGTTTAAAATCTGCCTATTGTAGATCATAGCTCAAGCGTTGAAAGCGTTGAATTTTCACCCTGTGGACAATATCTTGCATCAGGATCCTGGGATAAAACTGGCATTGTCTGGAATTTAAAGGTAATTCACCTACCTTTCCTTTTCCATTTGGAATTGGATCGTAGTGCCATTCTTATTTTGAAAACAGAAGGGTAATAGCTGAAAAGAGCAAACATGTTAAAACATACTCAGGCTTTTCATCTGACACTCTCTGGAGAGTATTTATCAAAATCTTTAAGCTAGGGAATATATATTCGGTTGTGGATTGAAAAAGCTTTTTTGGTAATAATGGCATGGGAGCATGGTATTTGATAAGGGGTTTATTAGTTTTTTCCTGCAACCAATGATATTGGCAGGCGTGCAATAGGCAGGGGGATCTACGAGGCTCTTTAAATGATACATTAAATGAAACATGCGTTTTAAGTAACTTATTGAAGAAAAATCTTATGAAAAAATATGAAATATATGGTTCAAAATTTCTTCCTAAAAAATTTCTTCTCCAAAGAATTTATTTCTTTTAAAGTAAAAATTACCTTCTAAGTCAGTTCTCAGATATTCCTTCATTGTTTTAATACATAATTATTTCATTAAAGTATTATTCCATATAATTGTTTTGACACATTATGTACTTTTCCTTTTGTTCTTGGTAATATTGATGAAAGATGATTTTTCATATTTTAGACTCGGCTTCCAGAGGTTGTAATTGTTGGTCACCAAAGTGTCGTGCAATGTTGCACTTTTTCACTTGATGGAGAGACTTTGGTACGTATCCAGTATAGCATTTTTCAAATTCTTTATGTTTACATGATTTTTTTTATACTGTGTTAGCTTTAAGCTTATTATGTTTCTTAACCCCTTGTATTCTAGTTTTCTGTATTCATTCATTACTTCATCACACAGGTACACAAGTTTTAAGTAGGTGAAAGAGTATTTAGTAGGTGTTTAGCTAAATCCGAGTTAGATGAAATCAAGGTGAAAGAGTCCAGCTTGTACATACCGATTATATGATGCTTGATTTTAAAACGATCAATGTAAGTAAATTGTACCAGAAAAATTTTTTCTATAATTTACTTACATTGATCATTATTTAATTTCATCATATTGTACCACACACATTTTAGTATATTTATGGAATCTTGATAATTATATAGCTTAGAAACAAAATTTCTATGAATTTGGATTTTAGTTAATGCCACTGCCAGCCGCCCAAAAATGGGAGTGGACAAATGTTTAGGACCAGATTTTGAATATAAACCTAAGATCTGCAGCAATGTGTCTTGTTTTAACAGGCAACAGGATCTTGGGATAAAACAGTGCAGACTTGGAACATAAGAAAAGATTCAAATTTGGAAAACAGGGTGTTCAAAGGTCATAAAAGTAATATTAAAGCCGTGGCATTTTCATGTCAAAAGATCTTGGTAAGTGTTTTTGGGAGAAGTAAATGATTCTTAGTTCAATATTTCTAATGGTTCAATTGATTGGGCTCTTTGTTTTCACTCACAACTTAGTATAGAAACTCGTTGCTATATCTTTACGTTATTTAATGGTGTATGGGTCAATGCCTGTTGTTATCAATTTCCACTTTGCTAGATTATAACCTCAGAGGAACAGATTGTTGGTTTGAAAAGAGTTGTTTTTTTCTGGAGAAAAGAAGATGTCATTAAGTTGAAGATGCCTGATATGTTTTAGAGTAAAAGCGTGAACTAGCAGTAATAATACTTTGGTGCTTAACTCGCACAGCATAGCAGTGCCTTTTTTGACACTTAAATCCCCAGGTTTACTTGATGAGTGCTTTGCATCATCCAGGCTTCTGCATCGTGGGACTGTACTGTTCGTTTATGGGATATCTTCAAGTCAACATGTTTACATATTCTTGATGGTCACAATGGATGGGTCCAGGCAAGCCTTGTTTTTTTAATTTTTTTTCTCGTGATGGATGAGTCCAGGCAAGCTAAGCCATATCCAACTTATCTATTCAAATAGTGAAGTATTTTTTGCAAATCAAATTTGATTCTATTTTTCTTTCAATCCTTGGCGCAATTGTTGGAACACCTGTACAAAGTTTTCAAAGTTTTTCCCCTCTCCATTGAATTGAACTGAAAATGAAATGTTTCCATTATTATTGTTAGAATTTTGTTGCTAATGATTTGTCAACATTGCGGGACATTTCTCTCTTGCCAGTTTCCTATAAGATTTTCTCTAAGGCTTTGTGTGGTAGATTATTAGCAACGGAAGTGGCTTTTTGGCAAAGTGCATTTTTGTGCAAACGCGATCGCCAAGAATTCGTCTACACCTTAAAAACATCAATTGACGATTTTAGACACCAGAGCACAAGATTATATTTGGTATTCATCGATTTTGCAGATGCATTTGGAAGTGTTAGACTTGACCTTATATTTGAAACCCTGAAAGAGTTTAGAGTTCCACTGATGTACTGCTGCATTATTGAAAATCTTTACAATAATTCATCATTTGAAGTAATTTGTGGCCATAAGATGTCAAAAAGGTTTCACATCGTAAAGGGTACCAAAACAGGTGACCCCTTGAGTGCTCTTCTATTCATCATGGTAATTGATCGTGTCTGTAAGCCTATGGTAACTGCTGCAATCTTAGAAAGGAATTTTAGTTATGGTGATATAAGGGATGAGGTACATCTGAATCCAATGCCAGTTCGAGCGTTTGTTGATGATATTGTAATAGCTGAAAATAATGTAAGTGTGCTAAAGAATATGATTGGGGCTGCTGAATCCCAAATGGACGAAGCTGGTCTGCAGGTTAAGCATGAGAAGTGTGCTGTATTCTATGGCCGTCGTTGAGGAAATAATTGGTACAAGGGCAAAGAAAATGCTACCCCTGAAGTAGAAATATTTTGGCAAAGGGCTTTTCTTAAAGGAAGAAATAGGCAAGATTTAATATTTTGCCTGAAGACAGCGTTGGATGACTTTAGACATATAAACACAAAACTCCATATTCTATTTATTGACTTTGCAGATGCGTTTGGCAGTATCAAGCATAAAGAAATTACAACCAAATTGCGTGAATACAACATTCCGATTGTATACTGTAAGATTATTGAGCACATATATCATCGTTCCAGTTTTCAAGTTATTTGCGGAAACAATCTGAGTCACAAGGGGCACAAAAACAGGTGACCCATTAAGCGTTATGATTTTTCTAGTGATAGTGGATAAAGTACTAAAACCAGCATTCAATCATGCCCTGATTGGCATGAATATAGAAAATGAAAGAAACATTAGGCCAATTCCAATTCAAGCATATGCAGACGACATTGCAATGGTAACATATGATTTAAAACTACTTGAAGAGATGATAATAAAATGTGAACCACTCTTTGATCAAGCTGGTTTGAAAGTAAAGGCATCTAAGTGTGCGTTATTTTATGAGCGAAGGTTAGGTAACAATTGGTATAATGGAAAAGGTGACAAAAAGCCAGCCATTAAAGTTCAAGGAGAAGCAATAACAACGTACAAGAGGTCCGAATCGTAAAAATATCTTGGCGGGTCGTTTACCATAGCAGGCGAAGACGAAAAACAAGTTAAGGATTTCATCAAAGAATTCAAAGATATAATCGATAAAATCAAGGAATGTACGCTCCCTTTTCCTTTAAAACTCAGTGTTTTCAATAACATGGCTTTAGCAAAGATTTCACACCACTTTGAAAATACAAAGGTAGAAGAAAAACAGCTTGAAGAACTGGATGCAAAGATTACGAAAAACGTTAAAGAAATGTTTGATTTATATCCCAAGAGCAGTGACAAGATATTTTTCGTCAAAAGACTACTTGGGGGGCTGGGGATAAAGAGACCATCAAACGTGTATAGGGCAACACGTTTATCTAATTTGATGAAAATGCTGAATCACGATGAGGAGAACATAAGGTATCTGGCAAGAAAATCTTTAGAATTAGACATGAAATCACGTGGTGTTAGACAGAGAGATAGCGAAACTAATTTTCTGGGTTATGCATTAGATGTCAACCGAAGACAAGCAAAGACAAAAACATATGGAGGGAACTCTGATTGGCCAGATCTACTTTTTCACAGATCTACTAACAAGTTTGATGGATCAGTTATCTTCAAGGATGGTTTGGCTGTGGTTGTCGTTAATGGCAAGGAGTTGAATAGGAAAGATTTGAAAAGAGAATTTAGGGGGGGGGATTGGAGAAACAGGATATCATTAAAAGCTGTGAGCTCCGCATGCAAGGAAGTTTCATAGGAATTGACAATATAAACAAAAAAATTTCGGATCAAATTTATTACGGATGGAAACTCTCTGATAGTTTAGTCAAGTTTATTCTACGTGCACGTATGAATCAAATTCCTTGTAATCTTCTAATTCATATGTGGAATAAGGATCACGATAAAAGATGTTCAATGTGTAATGAAAGGACTGAATCAATGGCACACTTATTGAATTCCTGCAGAAAGTACAAAGATTTATATTCGCGAAGGCACAATCGGGTCGTAGAATTTTTATCAAAAAATCCAAAAAAAGAATTCAACAACGACGTTATTTGTCAACAAAATGGTAGAAACAGCTTTTCCACACATCAGAAATGCATTGCGACAGCTAAACCAAAGGAAGCCTGATATACTAGAGATAAAAATGAGCAAGAGAGAATGTGAAATTGTTAAAGTCACTGTCTGCTTTGATTTGTATATGGATACATCCTACCGAGAAAAAGAAAATAAGTATCAACCACTGATAAACTTAATGAATGAAAATGGAATTGCAACAAGAATCAGTGTCATATGTTTTGGATCACTTGGGACCGTACATAAGGATGTGAGGGGAAACTTGAAAAGGCTAGGACTATCAGGGGAAGAGGCAAAAGAAATAATGAAGTGGTGCAGTGTATCAAACATGATTTGTGGTAGCATCGTATGGCGAAATAGGTGTAAAAAAGTGCATTGACAGTAGGACTGCTAATTTCTGGTGATGTGCAAGGAACATATTTGGCTATAAGACATTTACAGTTTGTTCTCCACTTGTCAAATCATATCCGATTTTATTATCATTATTATTATTTTTATCAACAGCAAGCTGTCGTCAGCATATTACTAGACCTAAAAATGCTTTCGGTGAAGTCCACCACAATCTGATACCAGCTGTTCTTCGCTATCACCACATCCCTGAGCACATTCAAAACATTATCTGCAGCCTTTATGCTGATTTTATAACATCTGTCATAACCGATACATTTCGTACCCCTTTTATACCGGTAGGCCGCGGTGTCCTTCAGGGTGATTGCCTTAGCCCATTAACCTTCAACCTTTGCTTTAATACTTTCATTCATTACATCTCAGATAATAAATTCAACCAGTTCGGGTTCTATACAAAACTCCTTGAACCCTGTCCATTGGTTTCAGTTCGCTGACGATGCGGCAGTGGTTACTGGTCAAGAAAACGAAAATCAAATTCTCTTAAACCATTTCTCTAGATGGTGCTCTTCTGTTGTACCACCGATATGTGCTATCCAAAATTTCCTGGAACCTGACCATCGCTGATTTAAGCAAGACATGGGTGACAGAAAATCTAGACAATGTTGTTTCAAGCTTTGTTAGACAGTGGCTTGAGCTGCCAATAAGTGCTTCACTAAGTTGCCTCGTCATTCCAAAATCGAAGTTTGGCATCAATCTCATTCTTCCATCAACCAAGTTCTTACAACAGTTATCCCCAACTCTTCAAGACTGTCCCCAAACCAAGAGTTTCGCTCTTTATGGAAAGATTCTAGCACTGGTACAAACATACAATGTGACGTTTATCGCAACACCAAACAAGTTCTCAAATGCATCCAAAGTTAACACGAAAACCGCATTGAAAACATTCTTACATCTCAAGGATTTATTATCTCGTGCATCTTAAAATCTGCTTCTAAAAGAAACTAATCAACTTTGGTCTAGTGTCCAGCAAAAGTTACCGAAAAACATTTACAACTTTACCATCAAATACCTAAACAACACTCTTGCCACTAGGAAAAACCTCTGCAAATGGTCAATTACTCAGTCATCTGCCTGCTCTTTCTGTCTCCAATCAGAATCATTACAGCACATAGTTTCTAGCTGCAAGAATTATCTTGAACATGGTAGGTACACCTGGAGACATGATTCTGTACTTCTATATTTGGCTAAAACCCTTTCAACACCTAGAAACAGCTCACTTTACGCCGACCTGCCTTCATTTCTATCACCTTCTTTAATCACAGGCGACTCCTATCGACCAGATCTTGTCTTCGTAACTGAAGATCGAACCCCTTACATGCTAGAGCTTACTGTTGGGTTCAAAAACAACATCGACGAAAACAGTACTTGAACAGCTAAGAAATATAGCGATCTTATCAAGGAACTGAGCCCTGCCTATAAACGTGTTACCTTTGTTAACCTTTCTATGAGTGTCCTTGGCATTCTGGGAACCTCATCTACCTCTCTCTCCGACATGCTACATCAACTCAATTTTGACTCAAATCAAACTAAATCTATCTTGATGAAACTCATGAACATTTCTATCCGCTGCACCTACTTTATCTTCTGTCGTCGAAACAAACCATGGCTAAGCCCCGAACTGATTGACTTCTAAATATTGTAATGCAGATAAGCCGATTACATGATGCCTGTAAAAGCAAGTCGTATAATTGTAAATTCAAAATGTATTCAATGAAAATGAGATGTTTCAAACAAGAAAATTATTATTATTATTTATCATTATTATTGTCGCTCATGTCCATCACAGATAAAGTTATCTGGAATATTCTGATAAGTTATTCTTTGAAAGCGGGCGACAACAAGCCACCAAGGGTCTCAAAGTTTTTTCTTGTGATCTCTAAAGAGATAAAACTTTTCGCAAAATCATAGCTTAGCCAAGCAGGGCTGTTTTCTGAATAATATCTATCACAATCTTTACTGCTAATTTTTTAATATGCCTTTCAAACTTGTCCGAGATAACTCCTAATGCTTCAATCACTACAGGTACTACTATAGCGGTTCTCATTTGCCATACATGTCCTATCTCCTCCCTCAAATACTGGTACTTTTCAATTTTTTCAAGTTCTTTCTCTTTACCTTACCATCTCCCGGTACGGCGATGTCTATTATTTTGACTACTTTGCTCTTTTTATCTACTAATACAATGTCCGGTCGTCTTGCCTCATCATTCTATCGCACTGGATCGTAAAATCCCATAAGAGCTTGTAATTCTCATTTTCAATAACTGCTTCAGGTTGCTGATTATACCACCTATCTGCTCTCTCGAATCAACCTTTGCTACAGAGTTGCCAGTGAACTTATCGTGCTACATTATCATGTCTTTTCTTATACTCCCTTTGTGCCAATTTGCTACACTCACTAACTAGATGACTAATAGTTTCCGCTTTCTCTCCGCACATTCTACATATAGGAGACTCAGAACTCTTATCAATATGGAACTTTGTATAATTTTTTCTTAAAGCTTGTTCTTGAGCATTGCAAATCAATGCCTCTGCACATCCCTTCATATCTCCCATTGCAATCCATTGCCATTACCTATCCCAATCCACCCCTTTATTGTCCATGCATTATCTTTTGTTTCCATTCGTCTTCTCTTTTCTGGCTATTAGACCTTTTATACTCATTTGATTCAATTGCTTCGGCAACATTAACTATGCCTGTTTCCCCGACCTTGTTCAATATGTACCAACTCAAACTATTTTCCTCCCCCTTTACACAACTTTCACAGCTTATAAGACCTCTTCCCCTTCTCCTTCCTCCTCCTCCTTCATATTCTTGCAACATCGCTTCTCGGGTGAAGTTCCTTGTTTATTGTCATGATTTTTCTTGTTTTTCTGTCAAGCTTTTGAAGCTCATTCGTATTCCATCCAAGTATATCTGCTTCATATCTCACGAGTGATACTGCCCAGGTGTTAACTGCCATTATCTTATTCCTACCGTTCAATTTTGATCTCATTATTAGTTTAGTGCGCCTTAAGTATTCTTCTGAGAATATTTCTTTCATCTCATTCTCCTTCATTTTGTCAGCCTCTAGAATACCCAGGTATTTGCATCCTTCAAGCTCAATCTCTTTAATACTTTCTCCATTACCTAGGTTTATTTCTTTACTTTGGACTAGTTTCCCCGTTTCATGATAGCCATACCAGACATGATAGCAAAAATATAATCGATTTAACTCTCCAATACATTCACACAACTGGTAGATTCGAATAAGGTCACTGTTACCTTGCCTACTTCTTTTCTCTTTTTTTCGCCCATTTCGTATTTGACGCTAGGTTTATTATAGTGTTAATGACTATCCATCTTGACTCCATACCAATTTTCTCAATAAATTACATATTAGGTTTAAACCTTGAACATTATAACGTATTTTGAAACATTATAACGAAACAGGCTTAAGTATTTACCGTATATGTATATGTTGTATTTTACTATGTATGTATTATTATAATCTAGTATATGTATATGTAGTATTATAGTTGTATTATTAGTTATATTTAGATACATGTTATATCCCAAGGAGGCAGTCATGTTATATTGCTCCTCCTGGGTTCCGTCCTTGTAACGTAGTTTAGTAGGTCGTACGTACTTTTTTAGGTAATTTGTTGTTGTAAGTTTTTATACCGAATATATATAAAAAAAACCACACTTCTTTACTCCGAATTCCATTCCAATATCATGGCTTATCACTTTTACTGTTGATACAAGACTATCAATTTCAGTTTTGTTCTTTGCAAATATCTTCAGGTCATCCATAAACAACAGGTGATTGATTTTCACATCTCCAATCATGTACCCTGCTTTTTCCTTCCGTAACAGCTTTGATAATGGTATCATGCAAATCACAAAGATCAGTGCGGAAAGACTGTCTCCCTGAAAAATGCCTCTTCTTATATTTACCTTTCCGAGTGACGTACCGTTAGAGGTTAATTCAGTTTGCCAATTAACCATAGAGCGCTGAAGGAAAGTTGTCACATTCTGTGGTACTTGTGCCAGTTGCAAACATTCAACTATCCAAGAGTGGGGTACCATGTCAAAAGCCTTCTTATATTCAACCCATGCCATTGCAAGATTCTTTTGTCGTCATTTACTGTCAGAGAGAATCATCTTGTCGATCAAAAGTTGATCCTTTGTCCCCCTGCTCTTTTTCCTACACCCTTTCTGTTCTACCGGCAGTGTATCAGTTTCTTGAAGCATCTCGTACACGCAGTCAGCAATTATCCCTGTCATCAATTTCCACAAAAGTGGTAAGCAAGATATAGGTCTATAGTTTTCCACCACATTTCCTTTCCGTGGGTCTTTCTGACACAATACCGTGCTACCAGCTGTCATCCACACAGGCAAGGGGACAGGTAAGCTCATTCATTTGTTCAGCAATTCTATCATGAAGTGATGTCAGCTTCTTTAACCAGCAACCCTGTACCCCATCAGGTCCTGGTGCTTTCCAATTTGGTATCTTCTCTACCCGTTCAGTTACCATCTCCAGAGTTATTGTTATATCCTGCTGACTTACTTTATCATATTCCTCTTTCAAGTCCTTTAACCGTTGAGCATCCCCATTGTGTTGAGCATCATTTCCCCAAATATTTCGCCAAAATCACTCACTTTCTGCTGCATCTGGTGTTACCCCTTCAGTTCTTTTCAATCCGCTCAATTCTTGGTATACCTTTTTCTGATCTTGTTGAAACGATCTATTGATTCTAAATTGCTGAATTCTTACCTCTTCATACCTCTTCAGTTTTGTTGCTTTAGCTTGTAGTCTTTGTTGCTTTAGCTTGTAGTCTTTGTTCGCCTTCAGACAAAATATTTCTGTTCACTTTCTTCAATCCTCTTGTTTCACATCTTCTACCATTTTTCACAATTCCCACTATTTCATCAATCATGCATTGTTCCTGTTAATCTTGCACATTGCTATTTCTTACTTGCACATCTATCATTTCAGATTGTTCATCAATTTGGACTATTGTTTCTCCTAACACTCGGTTTGTATTATCCCCTGGAAAGCTATCACTACTCACTTCAACACTATTACTAATCCCTTCTAACCTTCTACAGATTTCTTCTAACTCTACAGCAGTAAACCACTCATTCTTTCTTATTAACCTAGCCTCATCACATAGTCTTTGTTCTATCACAATTGGTAAATTTCTTTCTTTCCAGATATTATGCATCCTCTTCCTGTAACCTCGTATCGGTCTTCCATTTTCATCTGTTGGATCACTCAAAAAATAGCAATGCATAACAGCAAGGTTCAATTCTTTAGTCCATTTTATTTTGGCAGACGCTTGATGACGACCAGACCCACCCTGCCGTACAGTGGGACACTTGCCGGGCGAGAAACTTTCACTTACAGTCCCAGTCTCATTCACGCCGTTATTTTCATTATTTGAAATACTCATTGCACTCAGAAACAGGATAGTGAATTTTAGGTTACACAACCACCGGTATTTTAATTGAGACACCATCTCTAGGAGGATTACCAACCAAGGCTAACGAGTCCTTCCTACCCGAAAGATGAACTAGCCCCCGCCAGATGTCAACCTGGTACTTCATGGTCTCGGGTAGAGCTGACAGGAACTACACCTTGCTCAAGGGTGGCCTGGAGGTAGTTGTAGCAAAGGGTAACCTCATTATCCCACGTCAAAACTCCATAACCGGATGCAGTTTAACGTCATACCCAGGACTTTTTATTATTATTATTATTTATTATTATTATTATTTTTATTATTATTATAATTATTCATACTCGAGCTTACAGTAGGATACGAAACTAACTTGGATGTTAATGCTAACCGCAAAAGAAAGAAATACTCGCATTTCATTCACAGCCTAAGCTCAGCCTATTCTTCTATCATGTTTGTTAATCTTTTGATCAGATCCCTAGGTATCCTTGGTCTCTCCTGCTCCTCTTTCATCGACATGTGCAACGCTCTAGATATCAGCGAGAATCATCTCCGCTTCATGATCTCCAAACTATCCAACTTAACTATCCATACTACCTATTACATTTTCTGTCGCAGAAATAAGTCTTGGAAAAATCCTGAACTTCTTCAATTCTAACGATCTCTGCTACTGAAAACTTCTATAACAAACAATGACGAACACACTTTTTTTTGTTAACTTCTTTTGTTTGTGCTTGTAATAGTCTTTTTCTTTGTAAACCCAGGCTAGCCAATTGCAAATTACCTTTGTAATATTGAAATTTGTAATTGTAGTTTTAATTGAATTGAAAATGAAAAGTTTCCATTATTATCCTTCAAATTGCTAATCATTGCTAGATTCACAAAATCCGGGGAATATCGTGCATTTCTTCTTTCTTATCTATTTAAGTTTCTATTATGTATTCTCAAATCTACCTTAAATTGTCATATTTATGGCATTTTGTTCGAATTTGTAGTCGTGTGCATTCAGCAATGATGGCCGTTTTCTAGTGTCAGCCGCTGATGATAAAATCGTGAGTATATACGATATACCTGAAAAAGTAATGCTAGTCACTGAAAAGCTAGTCATGTTAAAGCTTACTTCAACATTGATTTCAAATATAAACTAAGGCAAACATAGCAGCTTTTAGGAGTAATGAAGCAGATTGAGCATGACTGCAAAGATGATTTGTAGTCGTTTTGTCATCAGTATGGTTAACCAAAGCATGCGAGAACTTGACAGAAAATTGAACTATGCTATTAATTGCCTGATGTAGTGACAAAAGTGGTTGAAATCATTTTGTTAATATGAAAACATAATCAGAACTGCTCAGAACAAGGAATTCAAGAAAGTTTTTTATCCGAAAGAATTGTTCGCAAGCTAAATATTTAACAACATAACAGTACCTACCGTGTTTAAGAAGGCCCAAGATCTGAAAATCCCATGGAAGCTTATTAGTCACAGGGGTTCCATAGATATTCTTCCACGTCCTTCTTCTTACTCTTATACTTACTACTTCACTTTTGTTCTTTTTCATACAATTTCTTCTTCTTCTTCCTTCTTGTTTCTTCTTCATCCAACTCTCCTTCTTTCTTGATTCTTCTTCATCTATTTCTTTCTCCACTTGTTCTTTTCTTCTGCCTACTTTTTCCTTCCTACTTCTTATGCTGCTTATGTTTTATTCTTCTTCTTCCAACTCTTCTTCTTCCCAATCGTTCTCTTCTTTATCCTTAGTTTTCTGCGTTTTCTTCTTTTACTACTTTCCTTTCTTCTTCCTATGTTTCTCCTTCCTCTTCTTCCTCCATAACTTTTTTCTTTTTACTCTACTTTATTTCTTTTTCCATGTCTAATTTTGCGTTTCTTCTTTCATATTGTTGTGATTTCCACGCCTGTTCTCTACTTTGCTTTCCATGACCCCCATAACTGTTTTTAAGCTATCCATGTGTTCACTCCTCTCCTTTTAAGCCCACTCCTCTCCTCTTCTCAATTGCATTCGCCTGTTCTTTTCGTCCTTCTGAGATCCCTTTTTCCATCTTATGTTATGTTGCAGATTAGATCAATAAACACGAAACAATGTTTGTTGTTATGTCTATAAGTAATTATAGCTTTTATTTATATAAGTACTTCCTCCATCTAATAGGTTCGGATCTGGGATGTAGAAAGTGGTCAAAGTGTCAAGGAGTTAGAAGTATGTCAGTCTAATTTGTTTGCTTTCTGTTCTTTTTTGTCCCAAAAAGATGAGATGAAGTTTTGACAAAAAAAACAATTTACAAATGAAGATTCATGCTGTAAATGTTAAGGGCAACTCCTTGTTCCATCTCATTATCACATTAGCGTTCTTAATTCCAATTGCTAATTTCAGGCACACTGCGAGGAAATAAACGCATGTGTTTTCACAGATAGTGGAAACATCCTCACATCTGGACCACAATACTCAACGGTCTTTTTGTATTAAAGACCTTTTCTATGTCACGTGGTAAGTGTCAATAATTATAATGACTTGTACCGTATAAACGGCTATTTTTCAACCATAAATTTGCATAATTGTTGACGTCATGTATGTTGAAACATTCAATCTTGTTTCTTCTTCTTTTCAATCAGTATAATCATATTTTCGTTTCATCTTCGATCTATAACAGATTATTACTTGAAGTATATCGCCCAATTTTACGTTTCCAGCAATCACGCTGCTTCAGATAGCGCGTTTGTAAAAAGAGTTAATTCCATAATGATATTTAGACAGGTGCAAGACCTGGCCAGATATGGTTACTATATACAAGAGATTATTTCACAATAACTTTTATCACTATTGCTCTTTTGCAATAAAAAGTTTTGAACTGTTCTTTCAAATAGCTTTTTTGCTTATATTTTTGGAATTGAATTCAGGAATCATCCTGATTTCTGTTGCTGTGAGCGATATTTGGTTGATTCAGATTGTTTCAGCTCGGCTGACTTAAGGAAACCGCACACGGTAGGGAGTATTTACCGCAAAAAATTGGTATTTAACAGACGGCAAAAAGGAGCCTTAAAACCATCTGCGTGCTAGTGAAACTGCCTTTAGATCTACACTGGCCTGTAGACTTCTTTAAGTTGACAGACTTGTAAAATATTTTCGTTATTTTAATAAAACAATGTGGAAATGTTTGCCTTTATTAGTAGCAGAACTACCTTTTGAGCTTCTTATGACGCTTGAGAACAGTACTGGCGGCTAAAAAAGCCCAAGAATGCAGCTATTGGTACACAATTTAGGCATTCTCCCCAAGGCGTTAAGGATTGCAGTAATATTCTGAAAACTAAGGCTTCCAAGAGAAGAGAGAAATGATTCGAGTTAACGAATTTTCGAGATATCGGGGGTTCGAACGTGTTGGGATTATACTGTAAATGAAGCCAATAACGATAACCATAAAGGTACATTGTTATGATCGCTGTCCCTCAAACTTTGCAAATCGATCCTCGAAGCTACCAGGCTAGTACATCTTCTAGCTATGAATTGATCGCGAAGCAGTAACTGTAAATATAACAAATAGGGTTAAGTAAAGTCAAAATAGATTAGATATAAACAGGGCCAACGTCGAAAGAGACACATCTAGTGGTGAAAGATAGTACAACATGCAAACTTTCCATTTGACTGTTAATTACTTTTGCGAATCTTTCTTCATTTTCACAGAAAGAATCATGTGAAAATCTTGACACTGTCCGAAAAGAAGAAACCGATAAAGAAGAAACCGATAAATATGTGGGATGACAAGCACGTGTTCAACAAATCAAAGTTCCATGATTGCAAAGTAAAGCAACAAAGATAATTTTTAGACAACAGAATTAAAGATATATTCCAGCGCTAAGTATGGATGCTTATTTTGAGAAAAATAAAAGAACAAGAAAATGATCAGAGTATCCTTTAGAATATGAAGAAAGCGTTCATCATTAGCATTTCATACATGCACTTTGAAGTCAATAAGCTAGTTTTCTCTTTTTCGTTTTACATTTAGTTTAGGTATTAGTTTGACAGAGTTGAAAGTGATGACGTCATTAATATCTGTTTTCATACATTCTGATTTTCGAACAAATAATTTGAAAGCATTATAAATTACCTGTAGATGTGCTAAGTCATTTAACTAATTTAAGAATGAGCTGAGATGCGGTTTGTCAAATGTCTAAATTTTACTAAGGAACTTTTTATTTGGTCTGGCTAAAATATTCAAAATCAAGGCCGAATTATAGTGATCATTGGGACAGATCTTTGTCTGCGAATGTATATAGGCCGCTTTCGTATAAATACAGCTGTTTATTGAAATGTATTACTAGGTTTTGATGTTCTTTAAGATTAAATGGTCAAAATAGAAAGACTTCAATAGGTCTTTATGGCGTCTTTACTTTTCTATACTTTAGGCTTAAAGTTTTAAAAAGAAGTATAGATAGAATTCAATCTTGTTACAGCAACAACAAGATTATGCAAAGCACATAAATTATAGTAATATATAGCTGTTATAAATAACGCGAGCTTAAAATTTTTCTGTTTACATCACTCTGTCAATTTTGAAGTGTATTTCTCTCATAGCCTTTCTATATTCTCTCTTACTTCGTTTGTATATACCAAAGATTATATCCTAAGACTGTATTTTGTAGGCTTGGATATAAAAAACCATTCGTTCAATATATGATAGAAAAAGTAGCTCAGCTGGTGTCTAGCAATTCTACTCATCCGTTTCGTTTAATAAGAAACTGTTCTGCTTCAGTGCCTTACGAGAAGGGGCATTTAGAAAATAAGCTACCCGAATAAAGCTATGAAACTTTGGTAAAAAACTGGGTTTTGTCACTAAAAAAGTGTCTGATCTTTGTGCTAGTTGCCACATCAAATAATTATTTGGGTGTACCAGGTTTATATCTTTGCTTCCATGCCTGATGACACACTCCACGAACTGGCTATTAGAAAGAGCCACAAAATTTCGGTCTCATTACATATCGATTTCGAGTCACCGACTAACTGCCAAGATAGAATTAATCTTTTTGCTTAAAAAAGTGGGCATTTAGCAAACAATTACTAAGCTTTCCGTATATTTTTATATTTACCTCCAAAACGAACTTTGGATAAATGATTAGCCTTGTACTTCTTCGGCATAAATTTCCCGTCATCTTCTATTTGAATGACTTTTCTCTGCTAAAACGGATTCATTAATATCATAGCGACTGGCTTTTTATATCAGTTAATCTGACACTTTAGTTCTTAAAAATAAATATAAAGCTGTCATGGCGGATGAACTGAACAAATTTGATAAATGAGAACAGGCTGTTACCGACTCAGAGTATGTTTGGTTTTCTGTAATTTTGCAGCTGATTCCCCACAAAAGTAATTACAATTCAGGAAAAATCTTCTGTTTGGAAGGGGTTTGTGATAGAAGATCCTTCCCTTTACTCTGCAGAGGTTGGTAGAAAATATTTTACTATTTTTCTTCTTAGTTTGTTGATTAAGTGAAACAGACTTGAGAGAGACATTTGAGTTGTAATTATGTCATAACAGACCTAAATTTCATGATCTTGATTCTGATTTTGACATGGCTGAGGCGTTGGCAAGTACTGCATGCACTGGAATTGTCGCCATTTACAACGCTCCTAGTGGAACGACGGTCCTAGTGGAAGGAGTGTCATTCAACTAGTGTTAAAACTAATTTCAAAATAATCGGCGAAGCAAAAAGGATATATGCTTGAAGGAAGGGGGGGGGGGGGGGGGGGGGCTAAATGGGCTGCTTCCGGATTCTACGAGTCTTGCGACGATAAAAGCAACAGTAGGCGACAGGGAGGAACAACGAAGAACGACGAGAGCGATCCGATATGAATGAAACATGATCTGAAAAATATATTTTAATATCAAGTTAGACTGCGTCTTGTCGCCGACCTCTTTCAATTGCTATTAATGGTACTGCGTCTTGTCGCCGACCTCTTTCCATTCAAGGACAGTGATTAACTGAGCACATGGCTCTGCATTGCTGAAGAGCTGTGCTAATTGAAATTTTCTTGCTGTTTCAGCATCGCCCACCTAAGAACTTTTAATAGCTTGTGTGACTGCAACAGGCTGTGGCTAACACGCATCGTTTGATGTTGGTCCCATGTCCAGACAAGATTTAAGATTCTTTTTTGCCAAATGATTAAAGAATGATTTGGCGTCATCGACAGATTCTTGCTGCAGCCATATTTTTTCTGAGGCCGAGTCGGCGACCTGACTCAGTGCAATCACAAGCGCCCTTTCCATTTGACTCGTTCGATTGTATTGAAACAATATTTGATACTAACATTGTACATCTCTATTATTATCACTATGTCTTGATATTTCTAAACGTATCAAGTAGGAAATTTTGTGTTTATGTATTTTGTGTTTAGCTTTATATTTTAAACATCAAAATGTCATTTATGCCTAATAGAGTGGTTTGGTTTTTAGCAAATGTTTAGCATCTTTAGGAAAGCCTGCTCTACTTCATAATTTTCAAACATTTTATATTTATTTCTCTATTTAATTTTTTCATCTGTGTATCTTTGTATTAAACAGGAGAAGCAACATTAAAAATGTATTGGTTCTTAAAAATACTTCAACAATTGTAAAAACACTGTAAAGATTCAGGAGGGATACAATTTTCTGTGCAAAACATTTTGCTTGTAAGATGATGACCCATCAGACACTTAATAGAAACCTTGCATTTTGCAGTACCAAACAGTCAAATAAATAGCCTACCTTTACATTACTGTGTGTTATAATGTAAGGCGAAGGGCAGGAAAACCTGGTTTCATTCTTGATAGCCAACCAGCCTGTTGACAAGGAGAATCGTCTAAGAGCAAGCTCTGTAAAATGTACAGAAGCAAAGCTGCAACTTTCTAGGAGAAAAGGGCAAGTTATTTGTCGTTGCTTTTTATCCACTCCTATTACTTAATCAATCGAGTTTACTTCCTTTAGAATTTGCCTTAACCACTTCAAAATTTAGTAAAAACCAGGAAATCACAGCTAAACAGTTCCAGCAAACTCTCTTTCAGTACCTTTTTAACTCATATCAGTAAAGTGATGGTTTCAAAGTATTATCTGTGTTTTGATAATTGAAAATAAGATTTTACTCGTATGTCTACAAAACCTGGGTACATGCATACGTTATAGACACAAATGCTTCAACTGAGAACATCTGAGAGATTGTGGTAGTCATGTAGCATCTAAATTGGCAACGAGTCGATTACTGTTTTCTTGGCATTTTCTTAAGTACAATAACCACTTTAAGAATATCAAGATTGCTCATTCTCCGGAAATATTAACTTATTCTTCGATATTTTCTATACCAAACTCTCTCACAGTCAAGCCAATATTACGATAAAGAGAGCTTTTTTCAAGCTCTATATGTTTAAACTATATTTCCCTTTTGCAAGCTCCATTATTGTAACTATTTATTTTGTGTTCTGCACAGTTTTCAGCTTCGTCCATTACGCTGTTGCTAAGGAGAC